TCCTGTGAGTCACCTTGGGCTGGTCCTGCCTTCTCCTGGCGCCTCGCTGCTTCCGCCCCATCTCTGGAGCAATGCAACAGTTCTGCCTCATCATGGTGCTGGAGGAGAGCATGGAAGCCTCATGCCTGCTGCAGAGTTTTGAGCACTGCTTCCTGGTGGCACGTGCACTGCGCTCCCTCCCCTGGCAGGTGGGCGGCGGGGCGCTCTGAGTGCGAAGGGTGGGTGGCGAAGGACTGGTGAGGGGGGCGCTATGGGCTCTCACCCCCACCCTCCCCGCCACGGGATGGTCCTGCTTCCTCCAGGCGCCTCCCCACTTCCGCCCTGTCTCTGGAGCAATGCGGCGGCTCCTCCCCACCTCGCACGCAGCCTCCTGCTGAATGGTCGTTACAGTGTGAGGGTGTCACGACTGTTAGCGTATTAGCTCTTTATTATATAGGATAGTTATAAGGTCAGATTCATTAACATTTTTCTGGTTGGAGAAAAATGTTTCCTAGTAATTTTGAGTTGGATTATCTTCTAGCCTAGAGAAAGGGGCTCATGCATTGCTGAAACTTTAATGATAAATAAGACAAACTCTTATTTTATCTGATGGTATCAGTATCCTTTACCTTTAAGTACTACCTGTCTCTAGGTAAACAGGTGTTAGTAGAACAAGTTTTGTTAAACTTTATTCCTGATAGCTTAGTAAAGCCTAGCTGGAGCTCCTCATTTTGTATTCTGTCCTAAGACTTTAAAGTGCATTTGTATAGTTGCCAAACATTCTAAAAGTGAGATTATGATGGGCTTTCTCAGTCCTTTTTTTCCTGGAATTGAGTTACTCTTAAAGTCTGTACTCCTCTGCCATAAAGATGGCAGATTGCCAATGGCCAGGAAAGGGTCTGTCCATGCTTTCAAAGTAGAGTTCTGGATTGAAGTTTCAAAAAATATGACAGGTTATTATTTTAGAATCAAAGTCCCCTAAAGGAATAAGTTTAGTTGCTGGGCAGAGAGAAGTGTAAGGAAAAAATTAGAGGAGATAGATCAGTTCTTGAGTGCTTTATGATGTACTATGCTAGAACTGTGAGTACTGCTTACCCCAAGCAGAGTCTTAATATTACGTGGCAATTACCAGGTGTTTTCTAGCTCTGGATAGTTAATTTTTCTTATGTATAGTTGCCAAGCAATCCAGGAAATCTAAAGTAAATTTTCTTTCTTTAAAGATCAGTGTTGGGGAGTCTGGTCCTTCCAGTGCTGACACTTTGCAATTCCAGCCATACTGAAGTGCCCTGCTTTCTCACAGTAGTGTAACCCAGAGCGCACACAGCCGTAGTCAGCCGTGTCATAGTCTCTTCGTGCGGAAGGTATACATTTGTCCTGTATGGTGATCCATTCCTTTCCATCTAGTTGCCTTGTGACTAACAGCATTTGCCATTGAAATAGTCTGTATATAGTTAGGGAAAACAGTAAAGCTACCTCTCGCACATGGGAGTAGACTTGAAGGGCTGGCTTCCATGAGCTTAGTGGCTTAGAGTTTAACATAAAGTACAAAGAAGTATGAATAAAAAAACTGTAATAAAGAGTGGAAGTCTTATATCTTGAGAAGTGTTCATAATCAAATCTTTGATCTGGATCCCCAGATTAATGAAATTGCCAGTTAAAAGAGATTCCATTTGTCTTTGGTCTTCTGTGGTTAGCAGAGAAGTTGGTCTTGCTGTGGTAGCAGCTTGAAAGAAAAATCTAAAGGGCACTAACCTTGACAAGGTGCTTGTATTGACTGTGTAGTGCTGGTCAGGGGTGCTCTGGGGAAAGGGATTCAATAGAGAAACCAATTGCCCTTGTTTATAATTTTGTTCCACATGGACCCTCCTCTTAGTAGACTAGTCTTTCAGTCCAGTGGGGGAAGAATACGGCCCTGAGCTTATATTTGCTGCTTTTTTGGTGGGAGAATTCTTGCAGGTGTTTGGGTGTTTTAGTTACTGGCTTCTATCTGTTGTACCACTTTAAGACCCGTTTTTTAATCCTTTTTCTTGGTGTGACTAGCCAGGAATAAGCCATTGAATCCCTCTCCCTACTCCCCCCACGCTTCTTCTATTGTAGAAGTTTTTTCTTTTTATTTGTGCTGCACACCTATGGTGAATCTGCACTGTGGGCATTTGTAAAGCAGCGAAAATGTCTTGCTTTTGAGAGTTGATCTCACTATGGCCCTTGGGCAGTAAGCACATTGGAGGGCTGTAGACACCAGTGCTGTTTTAAGTCTCCATGTATGTGGCTGTCAAGTTGGGTTGGGAATAAAGAAAACATCTATGCATTTCTAGGGTGAAATGAGCTGTTTTCTGCTGGCCTCAGTCTTTGAGAGGTCTTAGTTAATATTCCTAGGGTGTGGACTTTTTAAAGTAGAATTTAACAATTTGATCTGTTTTTAATTAATTGAACCCGAGGTCCTAAAGCAGTCTTATAGCTACAAAGCATGGAGTGAAACATTTACCACACAAATCTGCATTTAGTCATTTCTCAAGCTTTAAGTAGTTAGCTAGTCCTTTGTAAAATGATATCTTTGCTTATGCTTTTGTGATATTTAGGAATAGACTATGGATGGCAGCAAATGAAAGCAAAGGTTTGCAATGGTGAATGAAATTGAGAGAGGCAGTAACTCTTCCTTAGCAGTTTGGTTGGCTAGATGTGCTGATATAGTGAGTAGCTGTGGACTCGTACTCTTTGTGTACTTTACCTAGGATATGTACGGATGGAAAAGCACAGAGCACATCTCCCCACTGTCCTAGGGCACCATGATCTTTATGTTCATTTTGGATTTGTGTTTGCATCTTGCACAAGTATCTTTTAGTTTCAAATGCAAGTGTCCAAAGAACTGTGTCTTTAATGTTACTTTTTGCGTATATTTCTCTTCAGAGTTAGGACAGGAGGCAGCTAACCTGACTTCTATTTAATAAATATTACATACTCTTTCTTCAGTAACAGGGAAGGAAAATAAAATCATGAACTATTTTACATACATATATTTGTGTATATACACATACGTATATATTTCCTTATAATTGTTTTTGAAGTTTGCTTATTGGCTTAATACCTTATAAAATTGTCTTTGGTAGGTACTGACTCATACAATTCAGGTTGTTGATTTTACTTGTTGGCTTTAAAATTTCAAACAATCTTATTTCAGAATAAAATGATAAATCAAATGGAATTATAATTCATGTATTAGCTAATATAAGTGAAATCTTTCATCTAAGCAAAATAAGGGCATATGCTTTAGTTTGGGTGGGAAAGGGAGTTAAGAATTCACTTCTTTTTGTACCCTGCCTATTTCCAAAACAAGATATGAACAAGTGTTTTTTTATGCTATGAGGACTAGGTAATGTTCATGGAAATATGTAGTCCTAAAATAATTTTCTTGGGAATAGTTTTAGTCTGAAAAAGGTGAAAACATTTATGTTGAGCCATGTTAAATTATTTTATTTGGAACTTAAAAAGCTGGCAAAAAAATTGATGAAATGGTCTCACTAAGTATATGATATTCAGTTGAGAAAACTGTACTTTAGAATAAATGTGATAACTAAATAGATTTGTAAACTTTATTCAATAATCATTTTTGTTTTAAGTGAAATTTAACATTTAATTTTTGCCTTAATAGCATTTCATTACTTTACCTTAGGGCATTTTAATGTTTGCAGAAAGACTATGTAAGTAAACTTTACATTAGAGTGATTCTGTCTATGGTAGTAATGAAATTCTTGGTGTTTGTTTTGGTTGTCAAACATTCAGGGAGAGCAGAAAAGAAACCCCCAAATACCTATTGGGTTCACCATGTAGTTATATCAATTGATACCTTAGAATGGATTTATTATTACATCCTGGTTGAACAATAGCTTTGTCTTTTTCCTTTGGTGTTAATGACTGATTTTCATTTATATTGGGTGTAACTATCATAAATAAAGGAAGACTCAAGTTTATGAATTGGGAGTTTAAATGTTTGCAGGATTACTGCACTTCCAGAGTTGACTAAAAATGCCAGCTGTACTCTCCACTGAGAGAATGAACAAATTCCTATGTCTTAACAGTTATGATGTTCTTTTTGAAAGCGTTTTGATGTAACACCAATTTAGAAATTACAAAATACAATTTGAATAATGGAAGGTTTTCTTTGTATTTTAAAACTTTTTTTTTTTCCAGTTGATTGTTCAAATACTGGCTTTCTGTAAAAACATCGTGTTAAAATTTGACTAGTGCAATACTAATAAATTTGCTGCTTGGGCAGTTTTACTTACTACCTTTTAATTTGTTTTCTGGTATTACTTGTTATAGGTTCCATGTTGCTCATATTATGGTTGCATCTCTTTGGACCAATAAAAATGATAATATAAAGGTATGTTTATCTGATAGGAAGAAATATTAAACTGTAGAGTGTCTCTGCAAGGAAAATAACTGGTATGTATTTTCTATCTCAAAACAATTACAGTTTGGTTGAGAATGAGTTAAGATACATAAAATCTAGCAATTCTTGAATTGTTCTAGAATCAAGTTTTTAATACTTGATAGTCCTTGGATTTCAGGGTAGAAAGAAATATATTCTTCTCTTCTAGAGATCTCAATAATATTTTTATTTGAGAGTGACCAAGGTATTACACTCTTGTCGAGGTACTTTGCGATAGTGAGAACTGACATATTGCAAAGCTGGTTGCCATCCTTTCTTGTAGTTATGTATGACTTACTTGTATTTCCAGTTCTTGATTATATTCCCCGTTTCTGTGATGTTTTAAAAGGAAAAGAAAATCCGTTAATAACTTCCCATTCATATTAAACTTGAAAAGGCTGCCAAATAGAAATTTGGTGATAAATGAGATTTCTTCGGCTGTTTTAACCTAACTATAGTATGTCTTTTAGCCCCGCTTTGACTAGGGCTGTGATTTAGTGTGAACCCCCACAGATCTGATATTTACATGTTAGACAAACAGTATTATGGAAGGACAGCCTTTCCCTTTAACGAACACAGTTCCAGTACATCATGGAATTAGAAATATTTATTCAGAATATAAGAATGTTTGTAAAATATTATAAATGTCTCTGTATAAATAAATGGAGATTTTAAAAAACAATTATATATCAAAGAACACAAAGTAGCTATTTTACAGCCGCTAATACAATGAAAGGCATCTAGAAACATTTAAAGCATACAAATGAATAAATCTAAAAAATTACAAGGTATAGTACAGGGCTAAGTAGCAACTGTCAAATGAGACTTTTAGTACAAACAGTAGAACAATACTGACAAACTTAGTCACATGTGCTTTAATAACTGATAGTACATTCAAGCAGGTTTTTCTAATAGTTCAAGTGGTTTAAAAGTAGCACATTTTCAAATAGGAAACAAATCTCATGCAAAGTAAGTAAGTCTTGACAATGTCTAAGAACTTATCAGAAGTAGTAAAGAAAGGAACATGTTTCATTATCAAAGCAGATTATTAGGGTCCCTTTTTTAACTGGGCAGTCCTAACATGAACACTATAAGTGAGTACCAGGAGTTCTACAAACAGAACATTTTCCACATGGATTTAATTTGCAGAAAGTGCAAAAGTGAATGTAGACCAGGAACAACTACGCTTGTCATCAGTATGAATATGGGGGGATTTTGTATATAGCTTGTTCTATTCTGCTGAGCTGATATTTCAGATGATTAGTCGATCAGTGATTTTGTATCTACCTTGACTATGGAAAAATCAAGTTGGTCAAGGATAGGGTTATCCAATAGTGTTTGTTGTTACTGGAACAGAATGATTTCTTGTCAAGGTCACATGCAAAATCTTAACTAAAAATGTAGTTGTGTATATGTGAAACTAGCTTCCTTTACACAGAATTTAGTAAAACAGCTGCTATTCAAACTTGTACCCTTTTCCACTTGTTTATATTTTAACAGCCACTTAGTGATAATTCTAATTCCAGTTATATGCTTTAGGCTAACTTTTTGTATCTGTTAGTAACTACAAATGTAGTCAGGCAGAAAGTAACTTTAAGTGTGTGAAGAAGGAGGAACTGCAGAAGGTCGCAGGTTCAGGGCTAACTTCAACCTGGCCTGTAGACACACGAAGTTTCAATGATCTAGAATGGGATTTGGATAAACTTTAGTGAGAACTGGGAGTGCAGCAAAGTCATAATTTTTGTTTTGTAGCAAGTTTTGTCTCTTGCAAAATATTGCCCAGCTTTTGAGCACTAGTAAGTTTGGAAGCCTCGGTGAAAGGTGGCGATTGTATTATTTCTTGACAAATAAGAAATAAGACATTCTGTGGATAAGTAGAAAAATAATTACATGATTTTTTAGTGTCACCTACTACAGAAAAAACAAAAATGTTATGTCCGCACCACCCCAAATAAAAACTTGCCAACACAATGATTATCCCCTAATTAAATTCAATGCAAAACTTAATCATCAGAGGCCTTGCTCCCCTTTTGGCCTCTAGAAACTAACTATAGCTCTGTTTGCTGCATCGAGAAATAGATGCAGCTATAAAGTTAGTGAACATGATGAAATTTTCACTTTAAATAGTTTCATGGATGAGCCATACTCCTAGTTATGCATTTTGCATGTGACTCTGAGGCTCCTGCAAAGTACTGCTCAGAGGAAAACTCAGAAGGGTATGCACCTCAAAGGAGAATTAAGCAATTATGTTTAACTGGTACTTAATTTTTTATTGACATAATATTTCCAGTTTCAAGCACTGGATATTAACTTCAGAAACCTGACATGCCAGCAGATGAGAGTGAGTATGAAACAGTTAATTACCTGCATTGGCAATGCTGAGACACCTCATAATACCTCTGGGGCTCTAGGGCATGATGAGTGCCAGCTGTCTGATGACATAGGTATTTAATCATGAATAATTTTTGGTGAAAGTCTCAAAGAGGAATCTTACCACTTACAGGTGTGTGGCATGGCAGTTTTGGTAGCTGGAGCACTTGGGGCTTGGCAGACATCAGATATAGTTGGTAGGCCCACATAAACGTTGATGGGTACTACAGATGGAATTCTCTTATCTGAGTTTTGCTTCCATTCAGCAGTGGGCAGGAACTACACTCCAAGAAAACTATGAAATGGGTCTTTTCCCATACCCATTGCTCTAAGGGACAAAGACTGAACTCTGAACAGAGAAGGTAACTGCCTAAAAGGGTAAGAAACCACTGAGAGAAAACAGTTTAGATAAAAAATATGAAGATCTAAAGTTTTTTTTAAAAAGCTCATACAAGTTAGAATTAAGAACATTGTTTTACCCCTGATGGAGATGTTAATATAAACCAGCTTCTATTTAGGAAGAATAATTCAGGTTATAAAAAAGGAAAATTACCCAGGCACCTGCAATCATTTAATGATCAATTCAGTTTTAGTAGGCCCCACAATTAGCATAACCAAGTGCCTGTTGGTTCACCTTCAAAAAGGAGTATTTGAAAAAATACAAGGGAAAGGAAATCAACTATTTAATGATAGCTTTTTTATTCTATACATTTATAAAAGTAACAGTTTTACTGGGGAATAGTTTCACCTACTCAGCACATATTTTAAAAGTATTATATTGAAGTATAAACTCAGAATGAGGCCAGGTAGTTTCAGTAATACAGGGGCTCTTAATGGAAGAGCTGAGACCTGGTCTGGAGGGGTTACGTGACCTAACACTAAAGGGGTGGGTTCTCTGGTAGATGGGCCAGCAGACAGGACTTTATTCCTGTGTTAGAAAGCCATGAATGCATGCCCAGTTTGCTTCCCCTAGGCAAGCTGGAAAGATGGAGAAAACTGATTTTTGGACATACTTTTCAGCCAAAACATTTTCCTTGTGACAACATGAAATTTTACCCAGAGTAAAAATTGATTTTTAAAAATCAGAGGAACCAGCAGGCACTTTCTTAGTGACCTAAGCACCCACAAGCAGGTTTGGGCAGTCTCACTGCTTACCTGAGAAAGTTGGTTGCTTTTGGGATAAAACTCTGCCCTTCAAGGTTGTGGCTAGAGTGTCCTTGTCCATTGTGCAGAAGGCTGAGGACCTTGAGTCATGCTCTCTGAAAACAGACATTGAGCTTGGGGATGCAAAGCAAAACTGTGGCATTGGGATGGGCCTTAGGTACTACAGAAAGAAAGTGAAGGTTACAGTAGGAAAGGAATGATGAATTTAAGATGGAAGCCCTGCCTGAAAGAATTCAGGTACTTTGGTCCTGCCCTGTCACCATTTTGCTTGAGATTTAACCTGTTTAAGAACCATATGCTAATTATCACCAAGTCTCGGGGGAAGAAAAGGAGGCCTCAAGGACCATTTCCTCACCCCTGCCCTTCATAGCCATGGGAGCAGAGTCGAACGGGCAGGTCAGTAGCAATCTCTAAAATGGGTGGGATCAGCCTGCGAAACTTACCTGCTCAGGATCCTGGCTCTTTCCTTTACAGCAGCAGTTCTCAACCTGTGGGTCGTGACCCCTTTGGGGGTCGAACGACCCTTTCACAGGGGTCGCCTAAGACCATCAGAAAACATATAATTACATATTGTTTTTGTGATTAATCACTATGCTTTAATTATGTTCAATTTGTAACAATGAAATTGGGGGTCACCACAACATGAGGAACTGTATTAAAGGGTTGCGGCATTAGGAAGGTTGAGAACCACTGCTTTACAGAAATTAGAGGCAGGTCCAGAGCTACATATAATTTGTGGATGAGCTTTGATTCATGCAAATAGCAATTATGTAGTGCCCTGGGGTGGGTGGAAAGTACTAAAAATGCTCCTCTGCTGTGAAAAAAGGTAAAATTTTAGTTCTAATACACGTATCAACAGGATTCTGTCAGCACTAAGCCTCGGCTCTTAATAAGGCTTCACTTGGTAGGGGCAATACCAAAGTCAGAAGAGAGCTCCCTACCTCCATGATGAGAGCTGAAGGCGATTTCAATCTTCCGTACAGAATTGTTCAGGCACAGGCCTGCGCCTGCTCTACCTATAACTTCTTATCTGGGACTGGAACACCTATCTGCCATTTTCCTGTAATCTGCCTCCCAGAGCATCTCTGCGTGATAGCCTGTATCTTAGAGTTGACACATAGGACTTGAAAATCAAAGCCTTCTTATAGTAAGCAAATCTTCTAGATATGTAGGCCCTTCCCACTCCCCTGTGTGTGTCAGTTTTTCCCTGGAGAATGAAAGAGGAGAAATTGGGGGATGCCAGAGGTAGGGTTACTGTCTGCCAAACAGAAGGAAAGAGTGGAAAATCCAATAAGTCAAATACCTGGGACACCACTGACACAGGAAAGGTGGGAGCATGACAAAGCCAGTGCTGGAGGCAGCAGCAAGGCCTGCTGAGCATGGCACACAGAGTAGGTATTTACATGCGGTCCATGGGCCGGTAGTGGAGGAGTAGGATCCTCAGGATGCTGTCTGTACAGTGTCTTGAGGGATGCTCACCTCCAGGGCTGAGTTCATGGCACTCCATTGTCCAAGTGCTGACCTACCTGCCAACTGTCCTTAATTATCCCAACAGGTACTCTGTCACCTGGAGCCCTTCTCTCTCCGGTGACCTGCTATAGTTTAGCTTCCACCGGTAGGACTTTGGTGCCCGAGTGCCAATTAAAGTGAAGTTTCATTGGTGTGTGGCCTGGAGTTTTCCTCTTCCAGCAGAGCTATTCTTTGCTTGAGCATCCTTACTTGGGTCTCATGTCTCTCCACCATGGCCATCATCTGAGACTCCAGCTTCTTGAGTTTGTTTTGATGCTTCTTCTTTGCTTTCTCATAGGCAGCCACCAGGTTGCTATGTGGGGACAGAAGGGAATGAGATTGAAGACTCACCTGTGATAGCACTGAGACACACACACACTATCCTGTCCCCTGGGTAGCCAGGTCCAGTCAGCACTGCTCCGAAGAAAAGGTCACTCAGCCTCTCAGTAAGAATCTGAAGTCAAGTGGTTAGTATTTCAACGCTCATGGCCATCATCTCTTGGCTTAATCATGACTCATTCAGCTCAACTACTAGAGGCTTGTCAGTAACAAATTAGCAGAGATTTAAACCAACAATCCAAACTAGCCACATCCAAAGTTAGAAAGAGAGCTTGAAGTCCAGAAGTCTGTCATTTAAATACAAATACTGTATCTGTCTGTTGTTCATGGCTGCCTGCAACAGACGGTCAAGTGTACGCTACAGGAAAGAAAGAGTGCCTCACGCACTATAGACCAAGAACCTCACCTGGGATGAGGGCAGAGTGGCTAGACAACTTCCTGTTATTCTGTGGACTGGTGGGATTCAGAGCACTCAGGCCAGAAGCTAATGACAGCCAGGCAGAGTAATACAGGCCTCTGGTCCTCCCTGGGAGCCCATGAAGAGAGGGCAGGTTGAGCCCAGGGCTAGGTAAGTCCTGGTGCCCTCTGTGTCCAAAGCAGCACCCCATGTACATTCAGATTCTTTATGTGTGGCCTGAAGACTGATCCCAAAATTTCCTGAGAGCCCTTTTTTTTGGGGGGGGGGGGGGGGGGATTTGTGAGGTCCTATAGTTTCTACCTACATTCTGTGAAGCTGATTTTCTTGATCTATTTCAAAACAATATGTTGCCAAGAGAAGCAGTTGTGAGGTTCTAGCTGTCTTCTATTAAACCAGATAGTACCACTCTATTTTTTGTAAAATAAGTTATTTTTTAAATAAAGGCCATGTGTGTTACAGGTAAATAATGTATTTTTTTAAGTAAATGAATTAATAAAAACTTAAAAAATTTTGTGTTTTAGTTTCTAAAATGAGAAATGTCATTAGATAAATAATTATAAGGACAAAGCTCTTTGAAGTCCTCAGTTTTTTATGAGTATAAAGGGGTCCAGAGCCCAAAAAGTTCTAGACTGCTGTCTCAGAGCAACGCTTCCTAAAGTGTTCCCACTGGGTAGTAAATAAAAGGTCTGGCGCCAATTTTGTTTGGAAAACATTGGCATAAACACAAATAGGTTTTTAAAAAATTGCATGCCTTCTTAGAACTTTCCTGTCTGGAGTAAGAGGGGACAGACCACACACTTTCTGTGCTGCATTTCCCAAACACTCTTTTCTCAGGTTTCTGTGGGCAGTGGTACACTGTGCCGTAGGGAAGACCAGGCTCTAAGAAGGGCAGGCAAGGACTTGCCATTCTCAAGTGTGGCTCCAGTAATTACAGAAACATCCTCCCTGGTGTGAGTTCACAAGCAAGGGGGTTTACCTGTTGGCTCTCTTCAGGTCATTCACGAACTCCGCTGATTGCTGGTGGCGGATTTCACTGCTCTTGGTGAGTCTTTCCAAGGCACTCACCAACTCTTGAACTCTGGACTTTAATTTCTTTTCTCTGTCAAGGAGAGAGCATGCCAAGAGTAACTTGAGATGATGATGGAGGTGGCTACTACCCTGGAAGTGTTTAGCCTGCCAAGTCAAGAGGTGGTACGAAAAGGAAGATAGTACTAGAGGGTGGAAGAGTTCCCTTTCCCCTCAGTGCAGCCAGAACACCTCACTGTACTCCTGAAGGCGGGTTTGAGCCTGCTTCCTTTAACAATAAGGCCCTTCCAGGTGGAGAAACTGAGCTAATCTAGAAGTTCCCTGTCTCAGTCTCCACACCCTTTTTTTCCAAGTGTCCTAAGCATATCCTGAACCTTTCAGATTCAAGAACAGAAACCAATGCTCTGGGCAGCCTGCCATGGACAAATCCCGACTCACTGAAATCAACATGATCCTACCTTGCAAAACAAAAAGGTGGAGAATTAATATTACTCTCATTTCAAAGGTCCTTGTTTCCCTTGAAAGTATTTAGATTTGACTCCCCCGTCTCCTAAGTTAACTGACTTAACCTAAGTTAACTGCCTCTATCATTCAGGGTCATTGCATGGTGTCACGCGTCACACTATACCATGACTTGGTTTATGTATTTGAGCTCTGCAGGCTCCCCACTGGCATGCAGGCTCTGGGGTTGCAAGGATCTTACTTGTTTTGGTTCCCCATGTGTCCCCAGTGGTGAGTACCATGGCGGGGGGTGGGGGGGTGGGGGGGTGGGAAGGTAGGGGGAGATGGGCAGCTTCTCAGTGACAATGGGTAAAACCCCTTCAGAACAACTCACTGAAGGTATTGGTTCCCTGGAGCAAACTAAGAAACCAGAATTTATGGAAGAAAGTCCTAGAAAGATCACTGTGAGTGTGAGGAACGTGAATTAGCATGATCATTTTGGAAGGCAATTTGGCAGTATCCAACAGAATGAAAAATGAACACATCCCTTGGCTAAGCAACTTGATTTCTAGGAATTTTTCTTAACAGAGGTAGTATAGGTGCTGAAAGACACGAGATCATAGTTGCATTCACTTAAGCATCCTATATGATAAAAGCCTAATATGCTAAGTGTCCGGTCGGCCGTTCAACCAATCAAAGCATGATATGCTAAGCCTGTCCAGCCGCTCACTATGACGTGCACTGACCAGGGGGGCAGATGCTCTGACTGGTAGGTGAGCTTGCTACTGGGGTCCTGCTGATTGGGACTGAGCCCTCCCACGGTCCCTCCCTGGCTGGCCAACCTCCCCTGTCTCTCCCTGGCCCTGATCGTGCACCGGTGGGGTCCCTTGGCCTGGCCTGTGCCCTCTCGCAATCTGGGACCCCTCAAGGGATGTTGGTGAGCCGATTTCGGCCCCATCCCACAGGCCAGGCCAAGGGACCCCCCACTGGTGCACGAATTCATGCACCGGGCCTCTAGTTGGCTATAATAGCTTTTGGGGGGAGGGGGGACCCGCAGCCAGGTTAGGGTATGTCTGTACCACTCTGCAACCTAAAAAAGTGCAGATCGAAACGCATTAGCATGGTGTCTGATAAATGGTCAAGTAAAAAGGAAGGGTTCTATTGGATGCCATTTTGCAAAAACACTAAAAATCTGATGTACTAATAATAGATCAGAAGGCTAAACAACACTCAGCAAAGGTTAATGCACAGAAGAGGGATGACAGAAGGCTTTCATTGTCCACTCACTTTTGCATTGCTTGAAATTTTTACAAGTCAGGCTTTTGTCAAGTATGTGAGCTCTATGCTTCCTGTCGGAGGGGCAGGGAGGTGACCTGGGGGGGAGGACCCAGGAGATGGTTCAGTGGTGCTCTAATCTTATGTTTCTGCCTCCAGCTACTATCAGTGCCAGTCAAGCTTCCCAAACAGTTGATAGAGGAATTGCTACACAAAACCCCTGGCCTGCTTTGTGAGTGAGGTTGAAGGGGAAAGATCTTTCAAAGTGAAGCCAGGCCACCGGCCCCTCATCATTCTCCAGGGAGGCCTCCCTCCCACCAAGGACCCCCACAGAGCCTTGCAGCAAAGTGGGTCCCACCTGCTGGGGAAGGCGGGGTTTCTCTGGGGCCCTGGCAGCTACCAGGAAATTGGGTTGCAATTCCTACAGGAATCTGAGAGTGGCACTGTTTCCTACCAGAAGGGTGACCGGTGTCTAGGGAGGATGTCTCCCTCCCTCCTTCCTTCCCTAACCATTCTCCTTAGCCTTCCTGCAGGGCTGAGGAAGGTTAGAAGAACATGAAAGATTTCCCCCCTTCCCTCTGGCTAAAGTAATTAAAATAATTTTAAAAAACAGGGAAGGGTTATTTCTCCTGCATTTTGTTACTGTTTTGATACCTTTTCATTCTAAAGTTGATTAATAGTGCAAATGGAACAAAATTATGACAAGAATTAAAAATGTCCCCACGAACTCAATAAATTCACAAGAAAATCTGCTCAGAGCAATACCATTATTCTCTACCCCTCCTCCTTCATCTTCATCCCTCCCCTCCCCCCTTGGTGACATCCATATCCCTGCCCTACCCTGCATACTGGGAGAATATGGGACCCCCAGCTCCCCAACAAAACAAAGGGCTTCCTTCCCTAGTACCCAGGCCGCTGAGACACCAGAACCTAGGGAGGCCCAGAACCCAGGGAGGCCCAAGAGGCCCTCACAGACGCTGCCCAACCCCAGGTAGGGTGGCGGAGGGGAGCCACTGCCGGAAGCTGAGAACTGCCTCTATAAGAACTCCTAGGCCTCAGGGATGGGAGGGAACTGCTATGAACTACGGGACAGAATTAGGATGCCAGTTAGCTATAATAAAGCGTAATAAGCAAATTACTGAACGACCGAACAGCAGAAGGATGGTCCGGACAACCTTCCAGACAAGCACGCTATGACACACACTGGTGTCAGGCCAGCCAAGGCGGGTGTGATGCGATTGGTCGGGGGCCCTGCCATCGCCCCATGATTGCCCTGCAGAGGGAGGCCCATGCCTGTTGGGAGGCAACTGGGGAGGCGGGGGGGGGGGGGGGGGGCACCGCACAGATGGCAAGCAGTCGCAGTGTCGGGGGCGGGGCCAGTTGCGGGGGGGGGGGGGCGTGCTGCTGAAGGAAAGCCCCAATAGGCCCTGGTCACCAGCCAGGCCTAGAGACCCTATCAGAGAGGTCCCAGATGGCTCGAGGGCACAGGCCAGGCTGAGGCCTACCCCCCAACCCCCCCCCCCCCCCCCCCCCCCCGCCAACCCACCATGCATGAATTTTGTGCAGGGGGCCTCTAAAGATTAATAAAGGCAGGTTGACCCTCACGTTGAAACCTCAAATGCGGGCTACTTTATCTGTTTTCCTTTGAGTGAGACAGGAACCTGCAGTCAAAGTCCTGTCCCCATTGTTGCTCATTTGGACTGAAACAAACACTAAACTACTGAGATGGAACAGCTCTAGACCCACAGTACGGGTGGGCATTTGAGCACTAGAAATGTGGTGGGTCCAAAATGGATGTGCTGAAAGTACAAAATCCACACCGGGGTTTGAAGATTTAATACGGGGCGGGGGGGGGGTGTGTGTGTGTGTGTGTGTGTGCTAAAATATTGCAATAATTTAAAAAATACGGATTATATGTTGAAATGGTGATATTTTGGATATATTGGGCTGTTATTGAAGTTAACGCCACCATTTTCTTGCAGTTCTAAGTGTGGCCACTGGAACACTGACAATGACACACGTGGCTTGGAGTGATTTACTAGCTCCAGAGCGCTGTTTACAGTCACAGTGCTGGGCCCGTCCCTGGATTCCGATGCAGTAGGTTTGGGCTGAGGTTTAGGGATTGCAGTTTAAGAAGTGCCCTTGATGATTCTTATTATCAGGCAAGTTTGGGAAACTGCATGGGTCTGTGGATGAGCTGCATGTGGTCTTGGAACTCTGTCTATGGGCATGATTACGCGCACAGGCACGCTTTCTACAGTATGAAGTATAGCCTTCCTCGGATTCTCAAAGGACAACCCGGGTAGGAGCCAGAAGCCTGCTAGTCCTACGTCACTTTAGAACCTCAACCATTCATGTCCAGTTCTGTCCGGTTTCTAGTTCAAATCTGCTTGGCCTTCAGCTAAGGAAGAATCTGTTAAGTTTGTCCAGATAAGGTACTTCCACAGGCTCCACAAAGATGAGAAAGTAAAAATTAAACACATGCTCCATCTGCTCCCTCAATAGTAACACATTCATAAATGGTTTTCTCGAATGCCCAGAACTGTGTGATCCCATCCTCACCTCCCTGCTTCTTTACTCCCAGTAGTGCAAGCATGCAAGATACACGCCTGTATCACCAAGTACAAAGACAGTCCTGGACCACACTGACCAGGCACACCCACATCACCAGCACGCACATGGATTTCAGGTACAGGTGATCCCGCTCCACCAAAAATGAAGGTTATTTCTGGTCACAAAAGGTCCTATGAATCTTACTCTAACCACACAGACAGGGAGATGCTTTTCTTTCTTTTTAAGTGAAACACGATTTTAGGCAGGGGATGTGAGGCAGACTCCTGGTGGGAGTCTGCACGTGATGAGAAAAACCAGGTGACTTGCCAGTAAAGTGAGCTGGGCAGGACACCGGGCCACACAGACCTCCGCGGCCAGCCATGCTGGTCACTGTGCCTGGGGAGCCTGGGGCGGAGCTCTCCGAGCAATCAGGGAGGAGGTGGCACTCTCCCTGAAATAAAAGGCCAGCTGCACTCCTTTAATCACAAAGTCCCAATGAGCAGCTGGGGGAGTCACCAGGGCCAGAGCCCGGGCTTGATGAGGTAGTGAGTGGCTCTGCAGCCACCAGGAACCTCTCAGAGTTGCTGTAATCAGACCAGACCGCAGGGAGTCACAGCCATGCAGCCACAAGGCCTGGAATTTCTTAGCAATTGGTCATTACACGGAATTAGTCACTGAGAGGATTGTCTGCATGTGCAGTTCCTCTTCCCCACCTTCCTTGTACATGTTAACCCTGCCTGGCTCTGTCTCCACTGAAACTGCTCATGAGGTGACCAACGATCTCGGTGCTGCCACATCCAAAGTTTCCACTGTCCTGAACTCCCCGTCGGGCCGTCTCCTCTCCCCGAGCATGGTTTTCCTCTCGAGTTCCCCAGGCTCCTGCACTGACTCCTCGCTCTCTGCTCCAACCCTAAATACTCAGCGTATGGAAGACCTGGGCTTGGACCATATTTTGTAGCTTACTGTTTCTTCTCCCCATTCCCATTTATTTTTCTAAAAACTCTTAAATCTTTATCTCTGGCCTCTCCTTGGGCCTCTGGACTTGTCTATTTGACATCTCTGCTTCACAGGCATCTTCAATTTAACACGTCTAAGGTGGGATTCTGAGATGCTCTCCCAAATCACTCTTCCTCCCTTGTTAGCAAATGGCAACACCATTCGCCCACTTGCTACACCGGTTGAGTCAGCCGTTGCTCGTCCCTTGCCCTGGATCTCCTCATCCCTTCAATAGCAAACCCCACTTACCAAAACTCCACTTACGCCACAGCCACCCAGGGGCCATCATTTCTCCCCTGAGTGACCACAGAGCCTCCTAATAGTTTCTCGCTGCCCCTTTGCACACTAGTCTGGTTTTCACTGAGCACCCAGAAGAACTTTTTAATATGACGACTGCCCGTCAGTGCCTTCTGCCTGCAGCTGGAATGAAGTCTGTGGTCTTACTTTGACCTATAAGGCCCTACATGACCTGCCTCCTGCCTACCCAGGTTTTGGCACCCTCTCCCCCTTGCACGCAGGAATCCCATCAATTCTTAACACACTGAGCTCTTTCCCTCTGCGTGGAATGTATTTCCTCCATTCAGCTACTTTTCTTCCTCATCTCAGCTTAAACGTCATCTCCTCCGAGAGGCCCACCCACCTAAGCAAATGTCTCAGAGTTGTAACATCATAGCACCCTGTCATTTCCTCCAAATTATTCATTGTAATCTATTATTTAATATTTTGGAAAAATGTCAAGAGGAAGATACAAATAAGTGGAATCATATAACATGCTCAAACACGGCATGATACATCTTGAATCTGGATGCCCGGGCCCACAGATTCCTTTTTTAAGGGAGAAATGTTTCTGAAAATGCTGGGAAGTTTCCCTCAACTGACTTCAACCACTAGCTCAGTGGTTTAATTCCTTCAAAGAAGGTGTTAGTTTCCACTTGATTTTTAACAATAAAAACATCCCCAAGCCTTAGCCCTCAGGTGTCTGCATTATATAAACTCATGAAATGATTATTCCCATTTTTGAGCTCTGTTTACCATACAATCATGTGACTGCTCTTTCCCTGTGGCCCTGTGGGTTCTGTCCTGGCTCCATCTACCTGGGTCCTGATGAGAAGAAGTCCATGCTAACCAACGTGAGGCTGGTTATCGGAAACCCACTGTGCCGACCGAGTACATGGGATCTCTGCATGGAGTCAGCAGAACCTGCATCCTCCTGTGCCCGCAAACGCCTCTGAGGTTTGGAAAATTTAACCAATGAAGGGGCTTAGCGGACGGACACCATATATATGCACAGGCCCCCAGTGGGAAGAGGCAGTGGGTCTGCCCCCATGCTGCTGGCACAGGAAGCTGTCGAATCGCTGAGAGTTCTCCCGGGATGCTTCTCTCCCCACTTCAACCCAAGCAGTTACAATCGAACCACATGGCCAGAGGCACTGGCAGCGTAAAACCAGGGCGAGTGTAAGTTGGAAGGAAAGACGAAAGGCACAGTGAGTCGGGGGTAATGAAGTTCCCATGAGGCAGCCTTCCTGCCGTCCACTGTCGGCCTGGAGGCCACGCTGTAAACTAAACTGCCCGGCTGGGTCAGGGCCGCAGGCTGTGCCCTTAGCCTTCCTTCCCTCTCATCCCAAACCCCAGAAAGGATGGGAAATGTGTTTTTAAAAATCCCTGAACATGTTAGAAAGGAGTGTTCTTTCTATACCAGAGATGACGAGCAATCATAGAAAAGGCAAGGAAGACGTTCATTCTTCTCGTAAAAGGAAACCACAGCACAGACTGCAAGGGAAGGCGGGGCCCCGCGGGCTCTAGCCTCAGGTGCTGGCAGCGGATGGGAGGGGCCCGGGTCAGAGATGCCGCCTAAGGAGCCGCTAGGGGCCCCGGGAACTTGAGCTTGTGAACCAACCCCAAGAGAGAGTCACCAGACTCAACTCTAAGGAGAATGTGATGTGAGGAAACTGTCAATACAGCAGGCAAAGTAGCCTTTTAGAATCCACATAATAACTCTCCTCAGGAGGACAGCACAGCACTAGAGAGATGACAGAGATTGTCACCAAAATGCCCAGAGCTGAACTAACGGGGCCGCTGGCGGGAAGGAGCGGCTCTGCGGAGGCAGCATTCCCACCGAAGCTGCAAACAGGGCCAAGATGCCCGTTTCCATCGTCGCCGCTGAACACCATCCCGAAGGTTCCAGCCAAGGCAACAACACAACAAAGAAGCAGTGAAAGGGACATTCTCCATTTGCAGGTGACACCTACACCCTCACCCGTCACTCCCCCTCTGAAAGGTCTGGTGCCCACATGGCTCTCCACGTCTCACCTGCAAGGACCGGACAGAGGGAGGACCCATCACTAAAGAGACGACAGGTTTCATTACTGAAAGGAAACTCAACTTGCGAGCCAAACCCCATGGTGATATAGCTGAAGCTCTGCCTTCCTGATCCCGGATGCTGGCCTGAGCAGCAAGAGAAGGAGTAAAGCTTCGCTCCCAGAATCAGTGGTTGTTGGGGTCCTGGGAAGGGTGCTTACCGACGGATGGCACTGGTGAACTCTGCAGCCAGCTCACTGTCGCTGTACGTGGTCCTGAGTTCGGCCAGTGAGAGAGCTGGGGAGGCAGCGTCAGCACACTCCTGAGAACAGCAAGCACATGCCTGTTAGACCTGGAGCCAATGGGAAGTGACAATTCTGCCCTAGGTGGCCGTGACCTCCGACCTCCGCAGGCTGGCCGTGGGTGCTGACCACTCCCTGTGGGCTCGGAGCGCTCCCTGGGAGCCAGGCACTGGTCTAAGTGGCCACACACATATCCTCTCACTTAATCATCATGGTGATACTCTGAGGTAGGTGCTATCATGATCCCCATGCTACCCAGGAGGAAATGAAGGCCGAGGTCACACTGCCCCAAGTCTCCAGCCAAGACAGGGAGAAATGAGGATCCCAACCCAGGTCGGGGGCTGCCAATCAGGGCTCTTCACCACTGAGCCAGCCTCTCGTACTCATGGAGACAAGTGGGGAACAGCAGGTGAGAATCCTCCCCCAGCCCCACTTCTCCTGGGGAGAGCACCAGTCTTCTCCACCGTTAGGAGCCTTAGCGAGGTCAGTGTAATCCCTAGGCAACCCAGAAAGGAGGAGGAAAGCAGGAGTGCACCCTCCCATGTGATAGATCTGACCGGGACACTGGCATCTCCAAACCAAATGAACTCCCACATCCTACAGAGTCACACTATTCCTCCAACAGCATCACACCCGTCCGCGGGCTCTAACAGAGCCGCAGCCACGCTGCACAGGACAGTGGCCTGGGGAGGGTGCTCATCTGATGGTTTGCTCAACAGACCTTTACTGAGCACCTACAGCACCCAGGCTGGCGAAGAAAACACCTGTGACCGCTGTAGGTGTTCGTTTACCTGATGTAAACAGAGTTACATGGTGCTGGGATGAGAGCTGCACAGAAGTGCGAATTTGGTGCTGGAAATCCAGACGACGGGAGGGCTCTGTGTCTCCCTCAGCCCTCGGATATAGAAACGCCACCACGCCCAGGGGGTCCCCTCCCTCTACCTGGCCCTCCACCTGCACCGCTCTCCCTCCCTCTCCAAGTCCTGCAGACCCAGTCCCCCCCCACCTCCACCCCAGGCCATGGGCGCTGGGAGATTGCAGAAGCCTCCCTTTTTGTATGTCAACTCCCGTTGATGTGAACATTTCCTAAGACTCCTAAAGACAGGGACAGCTTTGTCTCGCCCCATGCCTCTCTCGGAACATGCGCGGTAGTATCTGTTGCAGAGAGACAAGAAGTGCAAAGACCTAACGCCCTAACTTGGGTGAGACTTGGTTCCAGCTTGTTGTCTGGGGGAAGTCTTTCAACAGGGACCCTATCTACAGAGCAAGAGTGGATGTCCTGGATCCAAATCTGTCTTGCCACCTGTTTTTATAAGGCCCACAGCCTAAGAATTGTTTTAAAATCATGTCAAAAGATCGAGAAAATATTTTGTGATGTGTAGAATTCGTACGAAATTCACATTTCAGAGTCCATAAATGAAGTGTTAATAGGACCCCGCCACACCATTTGCTGCCCTTAGTCTCTGCCTTCGCACTGCAATTCTTCAGTGGCCACGATAAGGAGGTGCAGCTGAGTCTGTAGGGCTCGAACACTCTGAAGGATTGACTGACTCCTTACAGTTCTCCAACCCTGGCTCTGGACAGTCTGCTTCACCTACCAACAAATAAGAAAATGAATAGCCCAGAAGGGAGATTTTATTGAAACTGTAAATGGTTCCAATATTTGAAGGACAAGAGAATCAGCTTACTCTAGCTTCATTACCTGAACAACATACTTTTATATGCTGCTTAGTGTTAAAAAAAAAATCATCCGGCCTTTTCCACCAAAGAGACGTCTGTACTTTGAAGCCATTCCACAAAACAGTGCTTCCCTCAGTCAAAATAAATACCAGGAAGGAGGGGAAAAGGCTCTGTGGGCTTCTGGCAGGACCCCCGAGAGCCCTTCCCACCACACCCCGAGAGCTCACACACTGGGGCTCTGTCTCTCGGGCTCTGTCCCCAGGTGACTGCTAATAAACAGGGTTGCACAGAGAGTTTCACGGGGTAGGCATGGAACAGGAAACCAGCTCCCCGAGCCGGGCCTACTCTAATAACAGCACTGCGCAGGCCCTGCCCACGGCGGCAGAAGCTGCATGGTGCACTGGCAAGCCAGGTGACCTTCCCAAAGCCCACGCTGTGCCACCCCCGGGGCAAACCCTCCAGCGATTCCTCACTGTCCTGGGAGAGCACAGCGGCTGGGTCTGCAGCCAACGTGTCCATCCCTCTTCCCTGCAGGCACTCCATCGCCTGGAGTGGACTTGCTTTCCCCCCCAACCCTCTTCATCCCACTCTCCACAGGGTCTCAGCTCAGGAAACTGGTCCCGAACCCCCAAACCCGATTCCGCGTCTGGGCTGCGGCCTCCCAGCACACGTGGGAGCGATCCTCCCACTGGGACATTTTGTCACTGTGCTAGGATCCTCTATTTGCTCCACAGTGTCCCCCACTGGAGTATAAACCCGGAATTGCCCCCAGCGCCTGGCCAGGACCAAGTCACAATTCCGCTGGAGCCACGTTATGGACGCCCTGGCTCCTGACGAGGGAGAGGAGAGCAGGGTGCAGCTGTGGCGCGTTGGGCAGCAGGCTCCAAAGTCTTAGCTGTTTAGGGGGTGACAGTTCATGGCCACATGGCATCAGCAAGTGGCTTCTGTCCCAGGGGCACGACCGTTCCCCCCGCAACATGCGGGCTGTGAGAAGCCGCCGCTCCTTAGACCAGCAGTCCCATATGCCCTGAAACAAGCCGAGGGCAGGAGGAGCCAGCATTTGCTAGGTAACTAGAAGGGCCTGCAGGTCCTACGCCAGTAAGGAAAGCGAGGCCCAGGGCCCTGCCCACATACATGGCAGTGAGTGGTGGGAAGGGGGCAGGAAGTGAGGCCCGAGCCCTGGGGGTCCCGAGCCCTCTGGCCCTACCTTGCCAGGCTTGTCTTTGCCGCCGCTGCTGGTGGAGCTGAGGGACCGCATGCGCTGCTCCTTGTGCTCCTCCACCTCGGACTTCAGGTGCTCGATGTGCACCAGGTAGGCCTGCTCCTGGGCCTCCCGCGTGCTCAGCTTCAGCTCCAGGGCCTTCTTCTCCTTCTCCAGCAGGTAGAGCTGGGCCTTCAGCTCAGCCATCTCCTCCTACAGATGGATACAGAGTGGGGGAAGGCAGGCAAGTGAGAGGGTCTGCGGCTATAAGCATGGACCCGCGGTAGCTATTCCCTTGCACTGGGGACAAGGGCGGGGAGAGAATGACAGCTGTCCCAGGGCACCTGAAGGACTGCCCTGTAGACAAGCCCCGTGCTGCCCCCTATGGACCAGAATTGAGATGAGTGAACAGAAGATCCAGGCAAGCAGATTCTGGTCACCATGAGAAACTTTCTAACAGATGCCGTCCCTGCCCCCTGCAAAGGGCTCTGCTGCCTGGGTGGGACCCAATCTTCTAGCGTGCGGAGACTAAGCGGTCAGAGAGGTTAGACAGGAGGGTCGCCCACAAAACGTAGGGTCTGCTTTGCCATTTTCCAAGGCACCAGCCCACATATTTGTTCACCCCTGATGGCAACCTTGGTGCCCTGCACCTGAGTCAGACAGGAAGGGAGCGCCCCTGACAATGATATTGCCCCCAAATGAAAGCAACAGAAACAGAGTCCTTCATTGGTGACTTACTGATGAGTAACGTCTCAAAGTATCTTAGAGAACCCAGGGTAGAGTTTTTTGTGGAGGTTAAGTGTGAGTCCAAAATGGGACAGTGCCCTGCCGGGACCAAGAGCCCGACAACAATGATAAGCACCGTATTTGGTGAGCGCGCAACACCGTTTAGATCAGCGGTTCTCAATCTGTGGGTCGCGACCCCTTTGGGGGTTGAACGACCCTTTCACAGGGGTCGCCTAAGACCATCGGAAAACACATATATAAATACATATTGTTTTTGTGATTAATCACTATGCTTTAATTATGTTCAATTTGTAACAATGAAAATACATCCTGCCTATCAGATATTTACATTACGATTCATAACAAGTAGCAAAATTACAGTTATGAAGTAGCAGCGAAAATAATTTTCTGGTTGGGGGTCACCACAACATGAGGAACTGTATTAAAGGGTTCCGGCATTAGGAAGGTTGAGAACCACTGCTTTAGATGTTCATACAAAGTAAGTCATTTAATCCTTCCAACCTCCGGTAGGTATTATGAGTCTCTCCATTTATGGATGGAACAATGAGGCACACAGAGGGAATGCACCCACTGGGTGAACTGTGGGCCAGCGTGTGAATACAGGCCATCTGCTCAGAACCCAGGCTCCTAGCCACCAAGCTCTAGCCTGTGCCCACCATCACATGACCACCAGGTTCCCCAGCTGCCTCCATGACCTTACTTAAAGGGAGTCTTCCCAATGCTGAGTCACTGCCTTGACAGGGATTCGCCACGGTCACTGACTCGTCACCGCGGAGTCACCCTCACCTGAGGTGACAAGCCTCACGCCTGGTGCGCTGCCCTGGATACACCAGCCCCGGGGGGAAAGCCTAGCGGGCACCCATCACAGCTTATAATACTCAGGACTGGGGGCCATGAGACACGGAGAAGGCAATGTGCTCGGCGACTACCCAAGAGGAGATGCCAAACCTTTCCTGAAGATGAGACATAACACCAGAATGAAGGGTTTTCATACACTGAGCCCTTCTAATCTTTTGCCAAAAGCACAGGATTCTGAAGGTCCTGGGAACTCTGCACACTGAGCTAACGTGGACAGTCAGATCCAGCACAAATGTGAAGGCAAGCCTGGAAGAAGGAAAGGTGGGTGCCCGTGATGGGAGAGGAAACGCCTGCAGGGAAAGGTAAGGCGGCCGCTGTGCTGGCAATGGAGCTCAGCCCAGATTGAGGCCCGGGACCTGGGCTTGTAGCACCCACTCAAGGGCAGGGCAGAGCCAGGACTGAGACCCGACACGCCAGGACTCAGAGGGCGGCCTAGAATCAGAGACGAGGAAGTTTCCTTCCCAGAGATGCGGCAGGCGAACTGGCCGCTGCTCTGGCTCTGGGTGGGAGAGAAAGAGAAGCCTCGGAGGGATCAGAACCACCCCTGGGCCACGCGTGGACGCGGAACAGGAATCCTAAGCCACACATGTAACAAAAGGAACCTGACCTCGCGTGCCCTCAGGTCCCAACACATCTAAGCGCAGAACCACCAGCCAGGACACTTACCCCCCGGGGCCCGAGGACCCACGGCAGACACAGCGTCACCAAAGATGAGCTGGTGCAAACGTTCTCCCCCAAACACAGAAAGTGGAAGTGAGTCGGGTTAAAGCAGAAGCAGCATTTGTAAGAACCAGAAATAACAAGTGAAAAATTAGAAAATAAATATTTAAAACAAAGGGATAAAGGAAGAGGAATTGTAATGAGGATAGGATATTTAAAGAAAGAGGAGTGGGTCTGAAAAGGAGCCGAGGGAATCACTGGAAATGAAAAGGTGTTCATGAAAGACCATACACGAGAAGTAAAACCCCCAGGAAACTCGAGTTTCTCAGCAGCGAGTCTGGAACGAAATGGGGAAATGCAACCTTATCTTCTGCCAGAGCTGGGACGGTGAGCGAGTCCTCGCACACACCCTGGGACACGCGGGGAGGGGCGCCGACTTGATGCTGGGGGCTGGGCCAGACGCTGGCAACAACTGCCCCCATCAGGGTCTGATGGGGCGCTTCTCTCCAAGCTTTCTATAATTTCTGCTCTTCTAGAAAATTTCCATGATGTGTCCACATTTTATTTTTCAAGTAGCAGTGTTCTCATCGGGGTGTCATGATCTGGTTGACTAAACCACTGGCCACGCAATGGCATACAATCTCCAGCCCTCCTCCCCTCCCTGGAGGTCGAGAGGCTGAAAGTGTCAACCCTCTCATCACGTGTGTGGTCCGTATAGCGACCACCTCCGTCCTGAAGCTATCGGGGGCCTTCCACGTCGTCTCATGACTTAACCAAGACCCTCCTGTCCCTCAGGACATTCCAAGCTCCGTGCCAAGAACTGGGAAGACATCCCAGATTGAATCTTTATCATACCAGAGCTGCCTCTTGAGAGCACGTAGCGGGTGAAGGCTGTGCCTGGCACCCCCGGCTGGAAATGAGCAATGTGCACTGCTGAAGGGCGGCCGCTTAACCAACACTTCCTGGTGAGGGGCACCCGCTGTCCCAGAAAGCACCCCCTGCCCCAGAGACGCCGCCTCAGCCAGGATGCACTGCCGGAGATCCACCAGGAAACACTAACTGGGCAGCCCTAGCAAACCGCGCCGGCGGGTGTTGTGATCCGAGCAGGGTCCACACGGCACCCAAGGGACAAGGGTGTCAGGAAACGGCTCTCATCCAAGTTCTGCCCTCCGCCTTGCCCTGCTCGCTGGCCTCAGAGGCTGCTCCAGCTGCAGAGGTCTGAGGTGGCTTCTCCTGGGGAACGAGGCGGCCAGCTCACCCCTCCAGGAACACCCCCGGCCCAAAGGAGCCCCTGACTGGAACTCTCTGTCCGTATCTACAACGAGGCGCTGGGTTCCCCTGGAGGGAGGCTTCTGAGCAGGAAAGGGCTGACTTCTCATCATCAGCTGACCTGTCTCAGGGGCCTTGCTCTCCTGCTCCCGATGACAGTGGAGTAAACGGGAACAGAGTTCTCGAACCCTCCCCCCATCCCCGTACCTTCATGGCCATCAGCTCCTGCATCAGCACCGCATTCTCGAGGTCCAGCCGCTGGCTGTCTCCCCGGGGCTTGACATCGTAGCTGAGAGGGTCGATGTGGATGCTCTCCAGCTCCAGCATGGTCAGCTTGACCGCCGCCCTGTCGTTCTTGAGCTGCTGGATGTAGTCCTTCAGCCTCTGCTCGTCCTCCTTCGTGAACTCCGTGTCGCAGCTGCTGGCCGTGGAGCTGGTCGTGCTGAGAAGACAGACAAGGAGAAGCCATCACATTTTCAAGTCACCGCTACCAGGTCCTTTCTCCTCGCTCTTCTCCACACCCCGTCTCTCCAACAATATTTAGGTGGCAGTCCAGGGGGGAGAAAGGCATTCTTCATGGCATAGTGAATTGATACCACCTTTTAGGAAATGAATGTAAAAAATAACAGAAATATTTATACCCTTTAGCACAACAGTGCGGGCCCTAGGAGTGAATCCTAAGGAAGTAATTCCACAAAAGCAATGAGATACACACAAAGGTGTTTCATGGAATAGAGGATTTAGTGAGTCAGTACACAGCAAAAAAAGGGGAAATTATGTAGACGTTAGAGTAGTAATTACGACAATGGTGGAGATGTTTTAAGTGAGGAAATAGGGTAAAAATCACACGTGAGTCATAAATATAGGTGTATATGTAGACATGACTTAAAAAAGGGACATGTTAAGGCCCGCGGTCGGCAAACTGAGGCTCGTGAGCCACATGCGGCTCTTTGGCCCCGTGAGTGTGGCTCTTCCTAAGCCTTAGGAGTACCCTAATTAAGTTAATAACAATGTACCTACCTATATAATTTAAGTTTAAAAAATTTGGCTCTCAAAAGAAATTTCAATCGTTGTACTGTTGATATTTGGCTCTGTTGACTAATGAGTTTGCTGACCATTGTGTTAAGGGAACAAAGCAAGTTGAAAAACAGAATACCTATGGCATGATTCATAGATTGTGTGTGTATGCATACATATATGTATGTGCACACGTGTCCCTGACTGCTGACAGCAGTCCCCTCGGGGTGAGACGTAGGAGGAGCAACAGTGAAGAGCGAAGGTTTGTACCATGGAAACCATAGCTAGTGTAATACTGCCACAACAACGGAGAAAGCGGCGTGCTCCCAGGCCTCCCCAGCATCCCTCCAGAATAATGACCGAGTATAATGTCCACCACAGGGACTCAGACTGGTCCAGAGGGCCCTTGGCCACTACACTGCATGGTGACCAGGCAGGGGCTGCAGACATGAGGCTGAGCGCTTTGGGAAAACCGAGCCTATGGCCCTCAGGAGGGTCTGGCCTTTGCCAGCAGCGGGCAGGCAGCTCCAATGGCTCAGAATGAGGCCCACTCCACCCAGCCAGGCCTTGGGCATCTGAGCCAGTGTGGACCTACCGCCCTTTCCCGGGACCTGCACTGGACCTGCCCATGCTTGCCGTGGCCCTCATGGAACTGGCTTTGGAAAGATGTCAGGAGAGCAAAGAGGTACCCCGAGCTCCCATCAAAACAGGCCAGGTAGGCATTGTCATCTCTGTCATTACAGATTTGGAAATAGGCTCAGAGTCATTAAATGGCTTGTCTGGTCAAAAGGCTAGAAACTGGTGGGACTGGACTCCGGCCACAGCCTTCTCATTCCACACCCGCCCTCCCAAGAATCCTGTTGCGAGAAGCTATGCCCGGAGCAAGGAGTGACATCCACAGGCTGTTGGCTGCCCTGAGCTCAGGCCCATCCTCCTCAACTTACACTAGAACAGGTGTGACGAGGCCCCTAACTCAGCAGATGTAACGTTCCCATAACCTAGGTTGACCCAGGGCTGGTCCACTCTCACCTGAGACACGTTATCAAGCTGGTTGTGCATGAGAGGAAGAGAACATTTTAGGGCTTGGGGTTGTTTTCAAGTCAGAGAACTCTTTCCTTCTCAGACAGGGAGCTCATGAACACCAGAAACAACTGGTCTACCCCGAAGGTAAGGGCATCGGCACTAGCCTGTGAGGTAATGGGACCCTCTCCAATTCTCCAGGGAGAGGCCACTGCACTCTTGGGCTGCTGTGGTGGGTGCCCGTGATTCCAAGCAGGTCTCTGACACCAGACAGACCTGAGTAAATGCACTTCCTCCACCACTCCCCAGCTTCATGGCCCAGAGTAAATCACAAGCTCTCTGGGCTGCGGTGAAGTGGGATCCTCATGATCCCCGTCGCCTGCTTGTGGAAAGGGACATGGGCCCTGAAGCAGGCAGAGCCAGTGAGTGCTGCCCCAGAGCACTTGTTCTGGGGGAGGGACAGCCCCGCCACCCTCCCCCGCCCCCCAACCCCGCGCCAACACTAGACCCAGGAACTCCCACGAGGGATGTCGGACACCTGCCAGGTTACCCAGAAAACCCGTCTGAGGGAGAGCAAGGTGGCAAGTGCTTGACCTGATTTGAGAAACCACCAAGACCCACCTGGGGACAGGAGCGAGGGTGGACAAGGAGTGAGGGTGGACAAGGAACGAGGGTGGCCAGAGGCTGGCAGGCTTTGGGGTGGCCTGGAACCCTCTGGGTCCCGGGGCTTGATCCCCAGCCGGGGTCGGGGGGGGAGGTGCGGGTGAGGGGGGAGAGAGTAGGGCTTTTGTTTTACCATCTCTGCTAAGGGTTTAGAGTTCAGAGAGGAAGGAAAGGAGAAAAAAACAGAAGAGCTCTTGCACAGATCCTACCCCCGTCAGAAGCTCAGAGCTTTACAATGCTTTTACCAGGGGAAAGTTGAATTTCAAGATAAGTGCCCGGGCCCGCACCCCTCCAGCTCCCCTCTCTCCCTTCCATGACACCAGCGGGGAGCAGACCAGGCGAGGTTAATTACAATCCTGCTTTGTGCCCTTAATGTTCCACTGCGGAATATGATCATGATGATGGTAGGAGGGAAGCCACTGGCCTTTTCTCTGGCCTCCTGCAGACAAAGGCGCTGCGGTCTCCCGAGGGCTCGCTGCCCTCGCTGGGCAAGGGTTAAGTCATCCATTAACTCTCCGCCTGGAACGCTGGATGAGCTCAGTAGTCAAGAGTGAATAAATCACTTTGCAGGGTGGGAGGCGGTACGTGATCTCCGAGAGGGACTGTGGAAAGGCTGCAGACGAAGACCCAGCCCACTGCAGGATGGGGAGCTGCACAGTGCTGTGTTTTGCTCTGGTTTTGCGAGGAGCTGGGCCAGATCATGTGGGGTGTCCTTTCCGTGACGCTCTGCTTGAGCCCTCTCACGCTGGCTTTGCTCTGTGTCGGGCACTGCACCCAGGTGCCTGCAGCCGGGGAAGCCGCACTGCTCAGGCCCGGGACACCCGCCCTCTGCCTGCCTGGCCAAAGCAGGACGTGGGTGCAGGTGGACTCGAGCCCGTTGATGTCAATGATCGATCCTCTCTGCCCTTCTCCACCATGTCTCATCCTTGTGCTCAAGACAACTCCCTTGCCTGCTTTTAAGAAGAAAAATCATTATTTTGGAGCTTCCTCAGCTTGTCTTGAGAAAAAGCTAGAAGGGTGTTTCCTTTGCCTTGAAAACCAGGGATGTAATTTTCCTGAAGTTTTGTCGTTTTACTGGCCCCCAGTGAGGAGCAGCTTGTTTTCAGAAGGAAAGTGCCATGAGACTGGCCTTCTGTTTTGCTAAACACTTAGACCAGCGGTTCTCAACCTGTGGGTTGCGACCCCTTTGGGGGTCAAACGACCCTTTCACAGGGGTCGCCTAAGACCATCGGAAAACACATATGTAATTACATACTGTTTTTGTGATTAATCACTATGCTTTAATTATGTTCAATTTGTAACAATGAAAATACATCCTGCATATCAGATATTTATATTACGATTCATAACAGTAGCAAAATTACAGTTATGAAGTAGCAACGAAAATAATTTTCTGGTTGGGGGTCACCACAACATGAGGAACTGCATTAAAGGGTCGCGGCGTGAGGAAGGTTGTGAACCACTGACTTAGACGGTATTAGGAGGGAGGGGTTGGCCCACGTGACGCTTGGCCACGTCAGCCACTCCTAAGTGGCTCTGGTCCTCCGAGAAGAAGGTTGCCTCTCTGTCTCTCTATTCCTCTCGTGACAATTCTTGGTCACGAAGGACTAAACGCACTAAACACCATCCAAACTTCTGAGGTCTCTAATGCCCTCGAATGGTTATGAGAACTCTCTGGGAAGAGAAGTGGAGGTTAAATGAGGGAAAATTATAGGACAAAATGCAGGCGTGGGAAAATCTGCTGCCAGATAACCGAAGTCCTCAAAAACCGTCTGGTGCCGGAAAGGAGACGCGGCGGGGGAAACCGAGACACTGGGGAGACAGAGGCCGCATTCGGCAGCCGTTTTTAAAGATGCCGTTATAATGGTGCTGGAAGCCAGGCGCCTGTAAAACAGAAACCCTGTTCCCGACTCGGCCCCTGGGCACACACCAGGATAGACACCGTGTGTCCTGACAGCTGTACTGTTGCTAACAATGACCCTGGCATTAGGGAAATGAAACATTATAAACGATTTTCAAATCACTAATAATTGATAAAAATTAAAATATCATGGGTATTGTTTTGCCTACAGAGTAGCCCAATTGAAAAAAAATGGATGGGCCCCAGTTTTAGGCAGGGTGTGGGGGACAGGCCCTCTCAGGCCCTGGCTGCAGAGTAACTGACCACGCGCAGAGGGCTATTGGCCATTTGCAACGTCAATCATTTTTGAGCCAGCACATCCTGCTTCTTAGACCTGGTCCCACAGCAACAGCACTAGAGGGGCGGGCCCAAGGACAAGGGTGGTGGCAGCAGCAGCGTCCCATCAGTGAAAAACCGGGTACGGCTGTGCACCAGGCGGAGGCTGTTTAAATACACGGTGACTGCCACCCAAAGGAAAACTGCAGCGGCTGACAACGGGTTCGTGGAAAGATGTGTAAAAACGTAAGTGAAGGGGAAAAAGCAAGTTTCAAGGGAGTCCACGTGACAGGACCCTCATCAGGCTGAAAATGAGGTGTCACACTTTTAAAGATGCCACGTTCTGGTCTGCTGAGTGCATACCTTCTGTCTTCTTTTTGGACCTACCCCTTCTCTTCTCCACCCACGTGGCTCCTGTGGGAACAACCATGGCCACAGGTGACCGGGGGAGGCCCTTAAGCCCAGCTGGGCAAGATGTCCCTCCCCAGGATTTTCTTACTTTCACACCAGTGAAACCAGTCAGCCTCGTGCACAAAGGCAGGCGGTGTGCTGGTTTCCTGCCCTTTGGGGAGCCCGCCCACAGCAGGGGACGAAGGGGGCCAGGCAGGCTGGGTGTGGGCTGGTCTGGCTGTGCCCAGGGCCTCTCTGCCTTCACCCCGGGATGCGGCTCCTGTGTGGAGATCCGATATCCTTCCAGCAAGATCCCCTTTTGTTCAAGCTATTTCAGTCCTTTCTGTCACCGGCAACTAAGGGTCTTAACTAATAAAAAAAAATGGACCATCTGTGGGCATATACCCCAAACTGTCTGCAGTATCCTTTCCAGTGAGGGTCCTTGCATGGAGAATTTTATGTAATGCCTGGTTTTATTTTTTACAATGAGCATTTAATTCTTTTGAAATCAGGAAGTTAGGTCTTAAAACAAAAGCGCATTTCAGGTCTCTGCCTAGTTTTCATAGGACCTAACAGATAAGTGACTGAGCAGGTGTCTGAGCAGAAGGCCCGCGCACCACGCAGGCATGGTGGGGAATGGGTCTGAGCGGGACTTTAGGATTTCCAAACACCTGCAAGCGTGAACTCCACAGCTTCCAATGAACTCTTCTGAGAGATGTTTTTCAGAGACACAGAAAGGTGATGGTTACAGCAGCCGGGTCTGGTCTGACTCTTACTCCCTGCAGCTTGCTGCTGATGGTGGCATGGGCCTGTCCTAACTGGGTGGCTGTTTCAGTCCCTTCATCCTTTCAGTGGCCATGATTCCCGTCCCCAAGGAGCCTTTATCTTAATCAAGACGAGCTTAGAGGGCGAGGGCTGGGCATCCTGAGCTCCACTGGCCTCCATTCCAGTTTCGGGATTTGCCCAGGGTGGTCAGCCAGGAGGCATCCTGGCTCCTTGGCAGTGCCCAGGGCTCACCACAAGGCTGCAATCCCCATTCTCACACCATGGTCCCCACATGACAGGGGACAAAAGGGACTCAATTCTAGTCTTGGCAAGAGACTTGCTGGGCTCATTCTGTCTTAGGCACACGTCCTTTTGTAGATTGAGATAGATGACTGTGCTTCTACCAAATGAACTGAAATTGTGACGCTTGACAGAAAGGGAGGGTTTAAGAATTCCCATTTCCAACAGCTTAGTCCATTTGCCTCTCTGCTGTGATAATGTTGACAAAGTGCTCCAGGCAACCAACATTACCTAGTTACTGTCCATTAAGATGATTACACCTTCAGATGAGGCCAGGGCTCTTTTCAAGAGTAAAACAGCAGTGTCCCTGGGTTCCTGCCAACAGTCAACTGATGGGCTAGCTGCCACTTTAAAAAAAAATATATATTTTTTTTTATTGATTTCAGGAAGGGAGAGGGAGAGAGAGAAGCATCAATGATGAGAATCATTGATCAGTTGCCTCCTGCACACCCCCTACTGGGGATTGAGCCCGCAAACCTGGGCATATGCCCCAACTGGGAATCAAACCATGACCTCCTGGTTTGTATGTCAACGCTCAACCACTGAGCCATGCTGGTCGGGAGTTACCACGTTTTATTCTCCTTGCTGGTCGCTACTCTTCTGCTCCTTTCCAAAACCATGACCCTCTTGCCATCAGGAGCTGTCCGTGTGCTGCCAGGCAAGGCACCGGGGCCTGGCACTCAGCATTTCTTTCCTGAGACCCTGAGGAGCAGCTGATGGATACTCTGATTGGAATTCTCTACGCCAGTGGTTACGGTGGGGGAATGGGGATGAACGGAGCCACATAAAGCCCCAACCCAGAGAGCCCATTTTCTTTCTTTCTTCCATAAACTGGACATGGGAGGATGTCTGAACTAGAATGGCAAGATTTACAAACAAGATGAATTATTAGATGGAAGGGCTTGGTGGCTTGAGCCCATGTTCAGCATAAAGCAGTCTAGTTGTGTCATGACCTGAGAATGTGGGTGCACATGACAGCCCTGTGTGTGGTTCTTCTGTATCCACTCTGAGCTGCTCTGATTTGATTGGGTATGGGAAAGTGAACTTTTAGGAAGGACGGAGTGAAATCTGAGCTGAAGTCCTCTGTTCTTTGATGGGAAGACCCACTGGTGACTGAAACTAGTGTGAGGGCCTTTCTTCAGTGAGCTCACCCTTGGAAAGGGGCTGTGTGCTGAATGGGGCTTGACCTGCTGAGATGTGTGATCTAAAAGTAAGTGTCTTTATGAAAATTGCCTCAAAATCAAGGCTCATCTATGTCCCAGTATTTCTAACAAATTTTCAAAACCAGGATTTCCACTAAATGAATGGTGAGACTTCCCATTCCTGACTCCAAATTTGTCTCTGATTTGGATTAAAACAACGAAATTATTTTTGGGTTTGGGAGGTGTGAGCAAAAATCTGTAGCACTCGCTTTATAAGCTCCTGGAATAGCACACATTTCCTGTCAACCCAATTCTTATGCTCACTAATTCAACAGCAAGATCACTGACAAGATGAGAACGACATTCTATTCTAAATGAACACGGAAATTATGGATTGCACACATCTGGAAAAGCCATTAAGAAGATCATCTGCTTTCCGAGTTCAGACAGAAGAATCTGGTTTTTAGAAAAAAATAAATTATAATCTGTGCTTCACTGAATAAGACAATTGTTGGTGGAGTTGAGAGAAAATGAGTCTCTTGTGTCTGTGGGCACCTGGCCAAGTGCCTCGTCGGGGATGTCCCCTTTCCTGAGGCACCGGGGCCAGGACAGGTAAATGGATGCACCTGGGCAGATGACTGTGTCCTGCCGTGGGAAAGAGACGGACACAGTGAATTGCTCTCAGGCACCAAGGAGACATCAGTATTTCTCCTTTGGCTCTTGAGAGCCAATCTATCCTTATGTGGTTCTAGTCACTTAATCTGCAAGTACACACTGGGTTTTTTTTTGTGTGTGTGTGTCATATATATATATATATATATATATATATATATATATATATATATGATTTTTTACAGAGAGGAAGGGAGAGTGAGAGTTAGAAACATCAATGAGAGAGAAACATTTATCAGCTGCCTCTGGCACACCTCCTATTGGGGATGTGCCTGCAACCAAGGTACGTGCCCTTGATTGGAATCGAACCTGGGACCTTTTAGTCCACAGGCCGATGCTCTATCCACTGAGCCAAATCGGTTAGGGCTCTGTGTGTGTGTCTTTAAAAATATATTTTTATTGATTTCAGAGAGGAAGGGAAAGGGAGAGAGTCAGAAACACCAATGATGAAGGAGAATCATTGATTTGCTGCCTCCTGCACGCCCCCCCGGATCTCCCCCCCCCCCCCCCCCCCCGGGCCCAGGGATTGAGCCCACAACCCAGGCACGTGTCCTGATCGGGAATCGAACTGTGACCTCCTCGTTCATAGGTCGATGCTCAATCACTGAGCCTCGCCGGCAGGACAACACTGTGTTTTAATGCCATGAGGTCCAACCTGGTAGAGTGGGAACAATGATGCGCTTGGTGCTGAAGTCCTGGTTTGAGCCCCGATTTCCCTCTGGTCTACCAGCCCTGTGACCTTATATGGGCAAGTCACTTACATGTCTCTAAGCCCAGGTTTTTTCACCTGTGAAAATGGGGGTACGTTACCCCTCTTGTCTTTTAAGATTTAGTTATCATGTAAGAATTCCTAACAAAGTACTTCCTAGACTGAGAGCTGGTATGGAAAGGGAAGGCATTCATGTTTTTAGGGCTTCGGTGGCAAGCAAAGAGCAGATCAGTAGAAAAGGTTTCATTCAGAAGTTTCATGGACGCCCCCACCCCTCATCCAGAAGAATCCGAAAGCTCTAGCAGATTGTGCATGGCAGGTCCTCACTGCTGCCCTCCTCATCTTTTTCAAGTACTCACTTCAGTTTTCTAGATGCACAGACCCGAACTCAGGCTCATGATCGAGCATCTGTTAAGCACGTGCTATGAAGATGGCGTCACCCCTGAGACAAGAGGTGAGGCCAGGAGGCCGCTACTTCCCGGGAGGAGCTCACGGAGGACAGAGACTCAGGAGGAAGGGAGAGGACAGGGCCTAGAAACGGTGCAGGGGTCTGGGCCTCAGGTGATTAGGGTTTATTTGCAACAAATAGCTGTCCCAAATGCTCCTGGGAAATCAATCACTATAAAGAAACGGAAAACAGAAAAACAAAACAAAACAGGAGAAAGCCCTGCAGGAAGGCCGGTGCGGGTGCCATCCCACCACTTTTTTGAACAAATCACCTTCTCTCTGGGCTGCAGTTCCCACAAATGAGAAGGCCCTTTCTAACCCTCCCACTCTGACTCCCCCTTGGAGGGAGCAGGCTGCAGGCCAGGAGACAATCTGCCCTCACCCACGCCTCTCCACCCACCCCCTCCCGCCACGAGCCTGGCCACTGTGTGCCACGCCCAGTGAGCAGATGACACGTGGACACATGTCCACCTCACAGAAGCCCAGCTACCTGGTGTGGCTGTTGGAGGACAGGCTCTCCCAGGGCTGCACGCTGCAGCCGGCCACGGCGAAGGCACCCCCGCAGCTGCCGTCCAGCTTCATGAGCAGGGCCTTGGCTGCGTTCTCCGCCGTCTTCCTGCAGTCGTGGGCTCGCTTCAGCATCTGAGTGATGTTCTCATCCCCCGACTGGTCTCCTGAGAGAAGCCAATGGAGTAGTCAGCACAGGCCTAGGCACGACAAGCCTGGGAACAAGGCTGGGGGATCAGCCCTCTTTACTCAGGGCCGAGACGGCAGGGTGGGGAGGAACCAGCAGGGGCGGCCCTGCCAGACCTGGCTCTGCCACTCAGGAGCCGGGCTTAGGAAGGCTTCCCTTTGCTCTGGGCTCCACTGTCCTCATCAACAAATGAAGGGCTGGCCATTCTGAGGTCTGCTTCCAGCTCTGACAGCTATGATTTTCTAATTACCCAGGCTCCTGGCTTCTCCTCCCACCAGCCACAAGTCCGCTGCTGGGCCATTTCCCCTGTGTCGGCACTTCCCTGTGAACGAGGGCAGGGAGAAGCAGAGGGAACACTCTGTCATATCTCCGGAGCATGCAGTTCTGGTTAGAGCTCCGAGTACGCCACGGTGACAAACCTAATGGTCAAAGTGAGGACTTGAGATCAGCAATTTCTGCACCGGTGCTACCCCGACCTCCCTCTCAGCTTTGTCACGGTCAGTGGCAGCTCAAATGCCTTCAGGAGCCAGGCAACTCGCTGGAGCAAGAGGTCAGGAGTGGAGGCCACCAGCACGGAGCCAGTGAATTCCCTGCCCAGGAAAAAACTGTACTGTTGCCCTAGCCGGTTTGGCTCAGTGATAGAGTGTCAGCTCACAGACACAAGGTCCTGGGTTCAATTCCAGTCAAGGGCACGTACCTTGGTTGCATGCTCAATTCAACCCCCTGCCCTGGTCAGGGCGTGTGTGGGAGGTAACCAATCGATGTGTCTTTCTCACATTGATGTTTCCCTACCTGTCTCTCCTCCTCCTTTCCACTCTTTCTAAAAATCAATGGAAAAACATGGCTGGTATGGCTTACGTTGAGCACTGACCCATGAACCACGAAGTTACAGTTCAATTCCTGGTCAGGACACATGCCTGGGTTTCGGGCTCAGTCCCCAATAGGGGCGTGTAGGAAGCAGCTGATCAATGATTCTCTCATCACTGATGTTTCTGTCCCTCTTTTCTTCTCCCTTCCTCTCTCTGAAATCAATAAAAACATTTAAAAACAACAACCACAAAACCTGTCCTGCCCTGCCCGGTATGGGTCAGTGGTTAGAGCCTCGGCCAACTCACTGAAGGGTCTTGGGTTTGATTCCCAGACAAGGGCACATACCTGGATTGCAAGTTCGATCCCCAGCCCTGGTTGGGGCATATGCGGGAGGCAATCAATAGATGTGTCTCTGTCATATCGATGTTTCTCTCTCTCTCTCTCTCTCTCTCTCTCTCTCTCTCTCTCTCTCTCTCTCCACCCTCCTGCCTTCCACTCTCTAAAAATCAATGGGAAAATATCCTTGGGTGAGGATTAACAACAACAAAAACAAACAAACAAATAAGCAAATGTACTGGCCAAACAAGTTACCAGTTGGCTATCTCTACAGCCTAGATCCATGGTCTTCCCAATATTTTCAATCAAAATCTTATGCCAAAGCTCAAGATACAAAAATAGTAAATGTGGATCTGGCTGAAGTGGGAGGGGTGGGGTCATGCATTCAGCTGCCCCACCTTCTCAGCCCACTGTCGAGGCCCAAGGAAACTCCTCCACCCTTAGACAGTTTGAAACCCACTCGTCTAAATCCTGTAGAATGAACGTACTGAGTGCCCGCGTCATCAACAAGAAACAAAGCCCCACAGTAATGGACACTTTGGGGAAATGTCACTCACTAGTCCTCTTTGCTGAGCAGCTACATGGCTCGTTAGGGCAGGACGACAGGCCCACTGCCACTGCCGGCAGGATGGACAGAGACGGAAGGGGGACCGCTAGAAAGGAGCGGACTCAGCCTCATGGAGAGTGGGGAGCAAACGTGGGCACGCGTGTCCGCAGGGTACGGTGCCCAGGCCTCCCTCAGGCCATTTCTGACCACCTTTGTGCCTTTTTTCTTCCCACAAATAACATGTTTCCAGCCCCTACCAAGTAACTGTGGAGAGTTGATGCAAGCCTAATAACAGGTACCGTTCAAGGACAAAACGGTTTAAAACATTCCTCCGACACAAACTGGAAATAAGATGATTGATTTTTCCCCTTTACTAGTAATTGATCGGTTTTCTTAATACATATATTAAAAAAAAAAAACTTGACAGCAGGCCAAGATCATTTTAGGATCTGTTTAATATGAGGAATAAAGTTTTATGGCTCAGTTAAAAGACCCTGAAAAATGAGGTTTCTAATGGAAATGCTGGCAGAGTTTCTACTTCTGGGCTGAGATGGTAATACTATTAAAAAAACAAAACACCAGAGAGAGGAGTGGAGGATGGTCGCCCGTGCAGACAGAGGCCTGCCACCGTGCTGGGTAACGTGAAGCAGGAAATTAATACCCAGGAAACTTCCTTTCCTTCAGACGGTTTCAGGTTCCTGCCCATGTCAAATGGAAGGAGGAGAACGATGTGGGTGTTCCGTGCAAAAGCTACACCCCAGCCACCGGGGACCTGGCAGGACGGGGACACTCATTCCAGAGGTGCCCCGCGGGTGACCTTTGCAAGGCGCGTCCTGGAAGGACAAGCCCCGATGGGCTCACAGCTCCTGGCCCCCCGTCTGGGGACTCTGGGTCTGCCCACACCGCCCATCGCTGGTGACCCGGTCACTTCAGCTTTCTGGGTACTTGCTGTTACTTCTCTGAAGCTGCTGCTGCTATGAAGTGTGGGCCCAGCCTCGGTGCTGCAGAGGGAACCCCTTTCCCGATCTCTCCTGCTTCCCACGCACCAGTTCTACTGCCGACGCCTCACCTTATTACAAGGACGAGGCCGCGGTCAGGTGAGGCTTCAGCCGACGCTGCTAAGTAGGATGCCACGCTTGTCTTTTCCAATTAATGCTCCTTCGAGGGCAGTGGTTCTCAACCTGGGCTGCACATTAGAATCACCTGGGCCTCGTCCTCCGGAAATTCTGTTTCTTTGTTACTAATGTTGTGGCCCCACCCCCTAACAAAGAAACGGCATTTCCGGAGGATGAGGCCCAGAAATCAGGATGTTAAAAACATTCCCAGGTGATTCTAATGTGCAGCCAAGGTTGAGAACCACTGGTCTAGTGACTCAAAATGGAGGACAGAAGTGGGCGCAGCGCAGGCCTGGAGGGGCCAATCAGGCCGACAGGACCCCGGCCCCTGGGGCAGGAGGGGAGGTGGGCATCCACCTGTGCTCCACCTGGGGCAGGGCCGGGGTCAGCGTTCTGTGCGTGGCGAGAGCAGGGTGGGGAACCGCATCCGCTGTGCTCACAGGCACCTGGAGGCAGGTGGACGGAACGTGAGCTTCAGCCTCCCCGGGGGAACAAACCGGAGAAAGAGCACAGCCAACACAGCCTCGAGATGGGCAAAGGCGGCGTGGGCAGCGACGGGCCCTCAGCGCCCAGCACCACAGAGAAGCTGTGGAGAAGCCGGGCCCTTTCATCGCGAACCTGGGCCTCCCGCTCCGTCTGGTCCTACTGTCAGCCCGGAGAATGTGTTTCCTAAGAGGGCTTGTTTGTTTTAACTTGTCTGTAATTCTGTTTCCACTCCAGTTCTTGCTGCATTCAACATAAACAACCGACTCACTCAGTCATGAGGAACAAAACCGAAAAACACACTTGACAAGCGAATTTCACGTTGTGTGTGTGTGTGGGGGGGGGGGGGGGCGGGCGGGGGGGAGAGTTGTTCCAATGCCAGCAGCCGAGACAGGGGCAGTGGGGCAGAAGAGGCGGGGGGGAGGGGGTGACGAGGGAGAGGGACGGGGTCGGGCCACACTCACCAGGGGAGGACCCCACGCCTGCCGCCCGGAACTGCCCCAGGATGAGGCTCTGCTCGCTCTCGGCCAGCGCCAGGAGGAGTTCGTAGGCTTCTATGCACTGCTCGCTGAAACAGAGCACAGGCATCTCAGCTCGGGCTGGGCGCGGACCGCAGCCCCTTCGCCGCAGCGCTGTTCCTGCCGGCTCCAGCCCCGCGTCCTGTCAGCGAGGAAACACCCTGGACAGAGCCCAGGGGTGCCCTGCTATGCTGGGCCTCTGCCTTCTAACTTTAAACCAGGATCCAGAAAAACAGAAGAAACAATACATGTGGGAGAGGCAAGGTGGCTGCCCTTTGGGAGATCCACCAAAAGGGAAAGGTAATCCAACCCTACATGGGTGTCCACACCCCTGTTTAGTCCAGTTCCACACTGTACCAGGTGGACGGCTCCCAGGACCTCTTAAAAGACCCTGAATCAGAACCACCCAGCTAAATCACTCCTAGATTCTTGACCCTAAAAACTGTGACATAATAATCTATATATATAAAAGCCAAGTTCAAAAAGTGACCCCTTCTCATTGCTGCTGGTGACGCCCGGGTGACCCACATGGAGCCACAGGGAGCCATATCCACGTGCATAGTGCCAAGTGGTCTGGGACAAGATGCCCGTGAAAATCCACCCCTAAGCAAATAACTGACCAGCGTCTTCCCGCTGAGTAGGGGAAATATTGCTTAACTCAACAGACCATCTGTTTTTTGATTGCCTTTCCTTTCATCTTCCTTCACTGAGAGATAAGGAAAAGGGCCCCATCAGGAGCCCTGGGTGCTGGCAGCGCCCCCTCCCAGGGTAGAGACGCGGGGATGGAAGGCAGCCTGGGGTGTGGAGCAGCCTGGTTCGGCGTTAGCCACACTGGGCTACCTGTTTGCTCTGGTGTGCCTGTGAGCAAGTGCGCCTGCTCTCTTGTATATTTTGGTTTGATTTTGTTTCCTGAAGAAACAATGTTTCTTAAAACAATATTGTACTTTTTAGAGGATGCCAAGAGGAAGATACAATCACTACGCTGGGAACCTGGCAAGCATGCATAGGTGGTGACACTAATAACATAGACCTATGAAGACAGTCATAGGCATACCTTGGTAGCTATTAAAAAGCAGCCATTTCAAAGTAGATAAATTCCAAAGATGATGAGGCTTAAAAGAGGTGGTACATTCATACTCGTTCATCAGCGAATGCATCATAGTTACTCAGACTGGCTTGTTTTTATGGGAAAAACGGGCGGCTCACCTGAGGAGCCATGAAAATATTCTTATCCTTTGACCTACAATTCCTGCTTCAGGTATTTTATCCCCAGGAAAATGTTAAAGAGAATGAAGATATTATCTGCATTAAATTGTTCACCATAGAATTATTTTCAGTGTCAAAGCCTGCACAAGTCTTTCAGAAAAATGGTTAAATAAAAAAACAATCTATAAACCTGATGCAGGGGATCCAGCCAAAGTGCATGGAGACTCCTAAGCAACATTACACAACTGTAACACGCTGAAGAAATGGAATGCACTAGATTTACAACGACGTAAAATATGTATGACTATGAATACATACTGAAAAGAACAAATGAATATGTAATGCAAGATTGATATTTTGATTGACGTTACTCGAGTGAAATAACACTTTAGTTGAATGTGCTGGCAGACACATACTTCTTTACTAACACCATGCCCATTACTCTTGTTTCCTTAATGGCGACAGGGTGCTCATTGATTTTCAATATGTATCACACGAGTGTTTGCTGGTCCAGCCCCCCAGGATGTCCTCTAAAAGCCTGCCTTCCACTGTCTGCAGAAGGTGACTGCGATGCCTTTCTGCGTGACAGCGGCCCGCCCCTCCCGTCCCACCTGTACTGCAGGGCCAGCCGCAGAGCTGTGGCGTTGGACTCGTATTTGCCCACCAGCATGCTCATCCTCTCGGCGTTGCTTTTGCATTCTTCCAGGGTCATGGTCAGGAGGTCATTTTGGGATTTGAGGTGTTCAATGCGGCTACAAAGGAAGAAAAACCTCTTTCACAATTTCACACGAGGATCACAATTCATTTGCCAAGATTTCAGTCGTCTAATCTGGCCTCAGGCTGGAAATGCAGGTTAGGGTGTGAGCCCGTCAGGAGTGTTAGCAAATGTAACTGGCATGGAACAAATAAAAGGAAGTGACTGTAGGTAAAAGGGTCACTGTGCGAATTAGAAATAGGAATAAGCGCCCAGTTACTGCCCACCCAGCCTTCGGCCATGTACCGGGAAAGGAGCTGGCTGCGTGGCCTCACTTCACTTATCTACTTCAATAAACCACTTTCCGCGAGGACAGACGGACACAGCATCCTAGTGATAGCGACCACGCGCTGAGCCTTTGCTCAGTAACCCTCTCCGTCGCCCTTTGAATTAAGTATTGTTATCTCCATTTCTCAGAGGAGGACGTGGAGGCACAGAAAAGTCAAGCACCTTGTCCTGGCGTTTGAACCAGGCAGTTTGACCCCAGAGCCTGTGCTCTGAACTGGTAGCTACAGAGCAGAAGCAAAGGTGAGTTAGCGAGAGAGAGAAACCGCCCTGCAGGCCTCAACGGGAAGAGGACCAGGAACTGCGGGGTGTGTCCACCGCTCCTTCCAGGTCGACAACCTGCGGCTGCTAACTCCCAACAGGACAAGCAGTGGGGACGCTGGGCTTTACAGGAATCAGAACTACACATTCAGAGCAGATGAGCTTATGGCAAAATCAGAAAAGCACCAGCCTTCAGCTCCTCCGTTTTCTGTCCCAGGACACCCACCCTCTAGGTACAAGGATTCTTTTCCCCGGGACACACCTTTTGTAGTGCTCTGACCACCAAGTCTTACAGAGACACTCAAAATGCAAGTGACTCTTGCCATGTTAAAAGGCGTGAGAATCAATCTTACAACCACATATCTGAGCACAGAACACAGAGACTCACCCACATGGGAGATGCCTAGGGAACGCTAAGACAACCGTGAGGCGTAGGCAGCTCCAAGGTCAGTTTGATGTAAGGTGTTACAAGAACATACTTTTCTATCCTTGTCCACAGTCCCTACTTTCTCATTACCTTTCAGCTTGCTTCTGCATACATTTGGTCCCCACGAATCAGAGGAAACTGTTTTCCAGCTCCCAGACCTGTGTGGCCAAAGCCGTCTTAGAGGCCTTCTAGGGAACACCCCGTGAATGGGCCACTCCTTCCTCTTAAAATGGTCTCCTTCGCTTGGGCCATGACAGGTCTCTGCGGGTTTTCCTCCTGCCTTAAAGGCTATTTCTTCTGTCTCCTTTGCTGGCTCCTGTTGTCTATAAAAGCCGTGAGTGTTGGCATTTCCTCAGGACTCAGTCCCTGACCCCCTCCTCTGTCAACACTGTCCCCCTGGGGGTGCTGTTATCCAGTCCGATGGCTTTAACAGGCATCTATATTCCCATGGCTCCCACATTTCCCCAGCCCAGACCTCTCTTCCGTTTACTGATTTTTCCATTTGGTTGTCACAGGGACACCTCAGATTTAACACTCCCAAGTAGGACTCTTGATTTTCCCCAAACCTTGTCTTCCCTCAACTCAGTCAATGCCTCCATCATCTACCCACCCACACAGGTGAGCTACCTGAGGATCTTTGAGACCGTTCCTTTCTCTCAGATCCAGCTCTAAACCAGATACAGTTTCCCTTGATTTTACCAGTAAACATATCCTGCCCCTGCCCCTTCACATCCTCTCCGTTTTGGCCATGCGGGCCCACTGCAGACTCTCTCTGCTTCTGCTCTGGCCCCACCCTTTCCATTCCTCACACCCGAGTGATCCTTCAAAATTTAGATCAGATCTGTTCCCCCCTCCCTACTTAACACCCTCAAACGGCGTTCACTGACACTTAGAATAAAGAGTATACTTTGTCCTTGGCCTCAAAATCCATATCCCACCCAGCCCTGCCTATTCTGCCCCCTTCTCTCATGTAACTCCACCTCTCACTTACTCTATTTTAGTTCCATTGGCCTCTGGACATTTCCTACTTCATGCCAACCTCGAGTGAGCATGATTAAGTTGGCGCATAAGACACTTCTTACTTTGCTGCATGGGTGCTCCTTTTTCCTCTTAAAATCTCAACTTAAACATTTCCTCTTCCGAGATGCCTTCCCTGGCCACTTCTCAAAAATCAATTCTCCCTGTCATTCTACCACAGGGTCCTGGTGACTCGGAGCTTTCTTATGATCCTATTCCTTTGCGTTTTGTCTAGCTCCCTAACAGAATATAAGCTCCGTCACCGCAGGGACCGTGTCTGTTTTACTTTCTTTTGCCTGCCAAATAGCTTAGCACATAGTGGGTTAAATGAGGAAGCACTTTTGAGGAGTATGACTCTCCCTCCCCAACACACACACACAAAGTTAAAGGCTGTCATTGTTTGGAGCGTAAGGGGCCTCCAACGTTGCCATACGTAGCTAAATAACAGACGTGAGGGCCTACTGTTAGATTATTTTTAAGAACTCCCATGTTATAGCTGCAGCTATGACTGAGAGAGGACAATGGAGGTAAGGTCAAAGGGCAGGGCTTGGGTTTCTGACGAGGCTAATTCGTAGCTCTGGACTGGGGCGGGTCACTCATCCTGGAAGCCTGTGTTTTCTCATTTGCAAAATGGGACGATTGCGCCTCCCACGGTGATGGTTTAAGTGGTTGTCTGTGAGAGCCCCTTGTAAACTGTTACCACCACGACAATGTGAGCTACAGCACCAAATATCCCCTCCTTCTTTGGTGTCTTCTAGGTGCACATCATTGAAGAGAAAGGAGCCTCCTTCAAGTTCAACTACAAAGCAGGCTTGTTAAATCCCAGAATCTGAGGAGAGGAGATCCTCACTAAAGGCAGGGCCCCTGAGGCAGCTGACTTCATTAAATTGCAAAGGGCACATCTGCTTCCATTTTTAAGGGCCCCCGGGCCTGGGGTACGAAGAGGGCTGCTGCTTCCCTGCTACAAGGTAATCGCCAGGACTGCCACTCTTAGTATTTTGGATTTAATACGGAAACCATTTAATTTCAAGATTTAAAATGACCTAGATTTGCCACATCTCCTTCGTTCCCAAGCACTATCTTAAACAGTTTCAAGTCAGGGAGGACTAACACAGTAATTCAATTTATTCAGGTTTGTCACGCGCAAGGGGAATGGTATTAAGCAACGGTGGATGGGAAGGGCCTGCGCATTTCTTCCTGGTTAGCTCATAAGCCTTTCCAGTTCTTACTGTGCCCTCCCACTGAAGATTGGGGGGTCGAGGCAGCCTTATCACACTCGGGTGAGACTCAACAGACCATTCTGCCACCCGGGACCGACTCTGAGTCAGTGTGGTTACCATGGTCTGGCTCTGGTCTTTTGCTCTTTTTTTTTTTTTTTTTTTTTTTTAGCAGCTCTGTCTCTTTGCTGAAAGGACACATGAGCCAGTCTTTGCCCAGAGGCAGGAGAGCAAACTCAAACTACCTCTGTCATGAGACTTGGGAGGAATCCATAAAATTAGGAACATGGTAAACTGTTCTAAGTAAGATAGAATATACGTACTGAGGGTTGTGCACATTTGCAAAAACCATAAGTAAAATTAGGCAACCCTCAGTTAGAGCAGGGAGGTTAGGCCAGCACACCCTGCTAACCGCAGGAGTGCCTCTATCAGATTGCCATGGCTGGCTCCTGGTGCCTCTGGGATGCTGACTCAACATTCCAGAACTTTCTCTGTGGTTCTCGGCAGCACAGGCCTGCATGCTTGGTAGCCATGTTGTCATTCTGACCTACTTGTCATCCTGAATGAAATGCTCCGGGAATTACAACATAATTTCCAATGGACAGTGCCAAATGAAAAGGCCGGCCCCTCGTTCATAAATTAAAAATTTAAAACAGCCCAGCAGGCATGGCTCAGTGATTGAGCATCAACCTATGACCCAGGAGGTCATGATTTTATTCCTGGTCAAGGCACATGCCCAGGTTGTGAGCTTGATCCCCACTGTGGGGAGTGCAAGGACAGCCAATCAATGATTCTCTCTCATCATTGATGTTTCTCTCTCTCTCTCTCTCCCTTCCTCTCTGAAATCAATAAAAAAAAAATATATATATATAAAAAGCCTGTGATCAGAACGCCGTAATGACCAGAACGACTGGTCACTATGATGCCCACTGCGGCCAGTGAACCAGACGATTCGGGGGTTGGACGGGCCGGCCAACCTCCCACAGCTCCTCCCCCAGCTGCTGACACCCAATCAGCCCCCCATTTGGGGGTGGGGCTAGCTGGCTCACCACCCACAGTCCCTCCCCATGGCTGGCTCTGCCCCCAATCAACCCCCCAATCCCAATCAGGGGTGGGGTCTGCCAGCCATCGCCTGCAGCCCCTCCCCACAGCTGGCCCGGCCCTAATTGGGGCGGGCCGGCCAGCCAACCTCATGCCATCTTTGCCCGACAGGCCTGGCCCTGATCCGCCAATTGGGGCCAGCCCAGTTGGCCCACATCCGTGCATGAATTTGTGCACTGAGCCTCTAGTCCAGTGGTTCTCAACCTCTGGCCCTTTAAATACAGTTCCTCATGTTGTGACCCAAACATAAAATTATTTTCGTTGCTACTTCACAACTGTAATGTTGCTACTGTTATGAATCGTCATGTAAATATCTGATATGCAGGATGGTCTTAGGCGACCCCTGTGAAAGGGTCATTTGACCGCCAAAGGGGTCGTGACCCACAGGTTGAGAACCACTGCTCTAGTCCTATATAATAAAGAGGTAATATGCAAATTGACTGTCACACCCTCGCACAAGATGGCCGCCCCCATGTCATCACAGATGGCTGCCATAAGATGGCCAGCAGGGGAGAGCAGTTGGAAGTGACCAGGCCTGCAGGGGAGGGAGGGCAGTTGAGGGCGATCGGGCTGGCAGGGGAGGGCAGTTAGGGGTAATCAGGCTGGCAGGGAGCAGTTAGGCATTGATCAGGCCAGCAGGGGAGTGGTTAGGGGGAGATCAGGCTGGCAGGCAAAAGTGGTTAGGGACAATCAGGCAGGCAGCAGGTGAGCAGTTGGGAGCCAGGAGCCCCAAATTGTGAGAGGGATGTCTGACTGCCAGTTTAGGCCTGATTGGGCCTTAACTGGCAGTCAGACATCACCCAAGAGGTCCTAGATTGGAGAGGGTGCAGGCTGGGCTGAGGGACACCCTCCCCCCCCGCCCCCCCCCCGCCAGTGCACAAATTTCATGCACTGGGCCTCTAGTATGTGTGTGTGTGTGTGTGTGTGTGTATAATTTAAAACAGTGAGAGCAGAGCAGTAAAGCAAGTGTGGGGTCCTTCTGAGTACGAGGCCCCACACATTTGAGTCTCAGGTCTCCCACCTGTAAAGTCAGCCCCGTCTGCTCTCTGTAAGTGCTCCTTTGAGGAACAAGGTGGTAGAACTCCCACCCACCAGCCTGACAGCATCACAGCACCACAATACACAAGGCCACTTCAATTGATCTTTGCAAAGGGGCAGCTCCCACCATCACACAAGTATACAGGTTGCCCTTTACCTGTTCAACCGCTCCGTTTCCACCTCAAACTCTCTAATTTTGCTTTCGGAGATGGCAGATCCATGTGAGTAGAGAGTTTGGAAGATCTCCTGGATGTTGGAGCAGTCCTGAAGAGAGTGGGCCAGGTGTTCCGCCACGCTGCTGGATACCTGTACAGGTGAGATTGAATCCCCGTTGGGACAGTGTCGCTTCAGGAACCCTGACCCCCAGGCCTGCTTTGCATGAAAAACTATTTAAAGCTTTTATTCCTGAGGATCAGGCCCCAGGAGATGGCTACCCTGATCTTTCTCGGTTTGTATATGATTCTAGTGCAGAAAGCTAACTACGTGCTGTGAAAGCAATACAGATACAGGACCAAAACACAGCTGCATCCTTCACATGCTTGCTGCGGGGATAATGCCCCCTGAGAGTCCTTCACGTTTTGGATACTAAGCAGAGTGTGGACTCCCTTCCCCCTTCCTTAACGCCTGCCACTCCAGGCCCTTGTCCCTGACTGCTATAGCCACGGAGAGTGGCCGACTCCTTTAATTTCACAGTTTAAATTTGGCATGGAATCTGGATGCATGCAAATTTTGCTCAGCGTAGAATTCTAAATTAGGGCCTTAAAAGTGCTATTCAGACTCTCTCCACCCCTGAGGATCTAACAGCTGGCTCTCCTAACTTTATCCCCAATCCTAAAAGGTATTCCTCAGGGAACCTGAACCCCTGCCTTTCCACCATCCATCAGCCTAGCCCCGGGGGCTGGCAGGTTCTACAAATGAGCACTCTGGGGCTGGGCTAGAGGGTCCTGGTCTGTCAGAGCACTGGGCTTCACTTCAAAGGCAGCGTTTGTCCCCACTGGAGAGGGCACTGCCTTTCAAGGGGATGTGAAAAAGGTGAAGTTCTTTTAGGGCTTCCTGGCTCAGTGTCTGGGGAGCAGGCGATAGAAAGCGAACAGTTCCAGACTTTCACATACATCACCAGCAACTAGACTTAAATCATTTCTTTCTGAACAGTTTCAAGTTGAGGAAAAAAGTCTCCCTTAAAGCTGAAGAAGTAATTCACCATGTGGAAACCACTGTGTATTTTAATCCTACTCTGGGAGGAAATCGTAATTTATTATTATAATTAACTGGTTCACTGGAAATGAACTTTGGAAGTTCCTCCATGATCTCTAAACCATTGTCTGTGTAGCTCTATTGGGAATGTTCTGGCCTTGCTTCTCATGGACACTCACCCCGATGCTGCTGATTTCTGAGCCCAGGACGGGCCGATCAGACGATGAAGATTCAGACCTGGTCTTGGATAGCTTCACCCTCTCGGCAATCTTAAAAAGCAAAAGAACAAACTATCAAAAAAAGGACAAGTCATTCCCTAGATAAACTGTTCACACAGTTTATATCGGCATACTGGTTAACCATGGTAACTAAACTGATTAATATCTTAAAAACTGTAGGGAGTGGCTATAGGGTCAAGCCTCAGACTGACCTGTGGCAGAGCCACATACAAGCCTCAGCTTGGAGGACAGAGCCCTCCTAGCACAATTAAGCTTGACCTTATAGTCCCCCCTTATTCCTAGGTAGCTAATTGGCTGTGGGAGGTGCAGCAAGTGCTGCCAAAACAAGGCTTGAGTAACAAAATAGATTTGAAACTCGCAAGAACATTGTAAACATGTTGACCACTCCCCTTGTTTTGCTTTGTGTGATCTGACTATAAAATAAAGCTTGGGCTTACAGGCTGGGTCACTGTTTCCTCATCCAGGCACAGTGATCCTACATGGCCCCAACTGCATTCTCTTGTCTTTCTTCTTTAATCCTTCACCACCCCTCCTCAGGTTCACCCCTGGCTGTGGTTCAAAAAACAACTCACTTGTCCAATTTTTCTACCATCCATTTAACCCAGGGTTTTTCAACCCTAGCACCGCTGACATTTTGAGCGGGTGCTCTTTGTGGTGGGGGCTGTTCTGTGCATTGTAGGATGTTTAGCAGCATCCCTGGCTTCTAGTCACAAGATACCAGCAGCACTCCAGTTGTGACCATCAAATCTGTCTCCAGATACTGCCAACTATCCCTTGGGGGACAAAATCACTTCTGGTTGAGAAACACTGTTTTGACCTAAAGTACACAACTTGATGGTTGAGACTGATCTTCTTGTGGAGACTGGCTGGTGACTAGGGAAGAGGAAAGGTACAGTTTGAACGGTCTCTCTAGGATGGACTCAACATATGAGCCTAGAGCTGTGGCAGAGAGTGGGAGGGACTACTTCTCACAGCGACCGTGGCCACCCATCTTAACCTTTTTCCTGCTGGCAGCGCTGGCAGTCCTATGAGTGGGGAGACCGTGGTTCTTCACGTAGGGTCCCCTCCTGGGCTGAACCTTAGTCCTCGTGAGCAGCTCTGCATCCACTCTTTAGTGTTGTAGAACCTGACAAACATCTCCCTCTCCACAGTGAACTGTCAGTGGAGACATGCTCCAGCTGGCTGATTAATGGGAGCTGGAGTCCAGGCTGCAGGTCAGAGAGACTTAAAACTACTAGTGGGTTATCTCTCCCTGCAGCTCCAGCGTGGGAGGCCTGTGTGGGACTCTGGGGAAGCCCCTGGGGCATCTGAGCTCATCACAGACCTGCACAGTGGCCACCTCGGTACAGGCTGGTGCCTCCAGATAACAGGAGGTGCGCTGCCCCCAGAAGCTCACCTTGGCGATGGGGATGTCATTGCTGCTGCTACTCGTGCTCAGCTCCCCGGTGCTGGGGTTAACGGGGCGGTTGGTGGAAGTGAGGCGGCCGGGGCTGGAGGGCCCTGTCGCCTGCACGCTCTGCAGTCGGGTCTGAAGCTCTCGCACCTGAAATAATAATAATAATAATAATAATAATAATAATAATAATAACAACAACAACAACAATAATAATAATTAATTAATAATGCCTTTAGACACAGTGGGTGGATTCCCTGGCCATATAGTGGATGTAGGACACTGATCTACATTATAGAATCAGCTTCACTGACAAGCTAAGTTGGTTGAGTCCATATTCGTGTCACTGTGTTCTTTTTTTAAAAAATATAATTGGCTCTTTTAATGTTATCTCTCTTTTTTAAGGTATCACTGTATTCTTCATTAGACTTGCCATGGCCATCATCTGTGTTCCATAAATATAAGAGGGGCATGTTGTCTAAGGCACTGGAAGCTGCCAGCAGAGGTAGAGCAATCCTCTCTAAGGAAGTCTATTCCTCATGTGCCTCACGCTGTGCCGGGCACTGCAGACGAGGAGCCAGGATGGAATCTCCACTCTCATGGAGCTCCGAGCTCCGAGGAGGGAGACTAATCAATTCAACACAGTGCACACTGCGGGCTATAAACGTCCGGGTCAAGTGGTGTAGGAAGCAGAGAAGGGGAAGGGTATGCCTCCATCTGAGATGACCAGGGATGGGTTCAGGAGGGAGTGGTACTCAGCAGTCTGACAGGTGGACAGGGCTGGCTTTGGTGGTGGCGTGGGTGAGTGGGGCAGGGGGAACAGCCTACACACAAGCACAGGCATTATGCTGACGCGCTGCGTTTGAAGAACTGCAGGTAGAAGAGAGATGTGAACTGGCAAGGAGGCGAGGCTAAGGTGGAGACAGAGGTGGCACCTGCAAGATGGGCTTATCCCTGAGGCAGTGGGAAGGAATATCTAAATAGTGCTTTTGTATAAAAATGAACAACAGGGCCCTCTGAAGGATACTTAGAACACACATTTACCTGCACAGAATTTAAATGTTCAAATCCTGCTTCTCTCTGCTGACGGTTCAGTGATAAGTAAGTGAAGACTGTAGAAACCGGTCTTTCAGATGACCTGGATCACAGCTTTGTCACTGTGTACAGTGTCTATCTTAAAGGGCAAACTGACTGCAGCACCCATACGCCCTTGCAAAAGGGTGACGGGCTCTAGCAAATGGCCACAGGCCCTGCTGGAAAGAATTAGCACCAGGATATCGAAGGCAGGGCTTCCCAAACTTGTAGGTGCACCAGATGTCCAGGGCTGGTGAAAACACAGCATCCCCTGGGGGCTCTGACTGAGCAGATTCGGAGAAAGCCCAGGAGCCTGCACACCCAACAAGCTCCCAGGAGGTCAGACGCTCCCGGGAAGGGGCCCACGTCCTCAGCAGCACTGGCCTGCGGCACTTCCAGGGCCACGAGCCCTTTAGTCCCAGAGGCAGGAGGAGCAGAACTGATCCTGTGGCCCTGGCGCCAAACCCCGAGAGGCAAACCCTTCTCTAAAAGCGGCTGAAAAGCTTTCATATTAAGTACTTTGGATGTCTCCATCCAGCTAAAGTGGGAACCAAAAGTAATTGAAATTTCAATAATTTATTAACATGTTAGAAGCCAAATAGGAAAATTCCCTGGGAGCAAAGTGCATTCGATAGTAACACGCCAGACACAGGGCTGACCTCAAAAGAGTTAAAGACCAGAGGACACACGCCTGTCAAAGCTGAATGGTGTTGCTGGTGAGAGATACAGGGCCCATTATGAAATGTGCCCTACAGACCAAGAATGGGCGTAGTGTGGATGCCTCATTGCACGCTATGGTGAAGGGAGGGGGCCCGTTCCCCGCTCAGGCCTGCTACCCGGCACTAGGGAAACCTCCCTAATGAAGACCGTGGATTTCAATTTCTATTGCTGTGGAAGTCTAGGAGGCCCTGAGTAACAACAATGTTAACACCACTCCTCAAGCTAAAGAGTGTCTGAGTCACTCGCAACACAATCAGTGATCTGTGCCAAGAACCCCAACTGGCCCACTCATCTTGCTTTTTAAAAAATACAAACTGTCCTGGGCAACTTATACAAACTTCATTAAAGCTTCCCATGTTTTAAAAAATGTTTCTCCTTCTTATCACTAAAGCAAAACGTGTTCACTATGGAGACTTTAGATGACACTGAAAAAATGAAAACAGAGAAAGCACATGTTCTTTCTTACTCTACAGAGACATTTACTCTGAGTCGTTTTCCACGGCGTACTAGTGCACAGGCATGCATGCTTAAAGTAGTCCCTACATCTAAATACCCATTTTCATTGAAAAGCTTTGGACCCGAAGAATGTCTTTGAGAACTAGAGGATGATAAACATGTTTATTTTGGTCTATGCTTTATTATGTAATGATCATTGTTAGGCAGTGAAAAAAATCCAGCCGAGGTGAGTGGGATGAGTCCGTCATGAAAAGAGAGAGAGCTGGCTGAGTTAAACAGCCTTTTCTCCCTTCTTGATTTGGGCTCTGGAAGGGTAGGGGTGTGTGTGTGTGTGTGTGTCTTAATTTCAATGCACAGAAATGAAGGCTAGAGTTGGCTGGGTCAGCCTAGGTAAGGCTCAGGAAGGGAGGAAACACAGCTGTTAGACCCTCACTTTTATACTCACATATCACAGGTTGGAGTGTGTTCCCCTAAAATATATGTCCAGGTTCTAACCCCAGGTACCTGTGAATATGACCTTATTTTGAAATACGGTCCTTGTAGATGTCATTAAGTTAAGAAACTCAAGATGAGCTCATTTTGAATATGGCGCAGGCCCTAAATCTAATGACTGGGGTCCTCACACGGAAAAGGAAGGGGAGATTTGAAACAGACCCAGGGAAGAAGGTCAGGTGAAGACAAAGGTCATGTGAAGGTCAAGGTCGTGTGAAGGTGAAGGTAAGAACACCAGGAGTGGCCAGAGGCTGGAGGAGGCAGGAAGGAATCTCTCTTAGAGCCTCTGGGAGGACAGCCCTGCCAACAACCTGATTTTGTGGATTCTGAGCTGTGAGAGAATGTGCATCTGTTGTTTTATGTTTGAAGTAATGAACTAATATACCCACCTTATATTGAAGGTATTTTATTAGAGAAAATAGGGTGGAGTAAAAGTAGGTTTACAGTTGTAAGCAAAACACAGAGTTTATTCCTGTATTATTATGTATTAATTATTGTATTATTTTCCATACGAACAGCTGTAAACCTACGTTTGCCCCACGCGGTATTTTTCTCTCTATAACATATGTGGCTTGGAGTCAGGGGGTAGGGAGGAATCACAGCTACCCCGGAGCTAGGATTCTATATTTTTGGAAAAGTCCCCCATCACCCTTTACAACCTTGGAGTTCTTCAACAACAGAACACAGAGTGCGATTTGAAAGGCCATTTGTTTATTCCTCCTAAAGTGAGCACATAGCCAGTATCTATCCAGATGCCAGAAGAGAAGTTAATCTGTTACATACATTGGAAAACTGGTAGAGTATGAAGGTAAGTTTCTTATATTTCAGGGGCTCACAGTCCAGCCAAACATTATGATATGAACCATGCTCTGAAAAGGGGAGCCTACAGGGATGTCACAGTATAGAAGGTACGTTGCCTCTGCGTTCCCACAGCAGCAAACACTAGGATTCCATCTTGAAGGTTGAGCAGTTGTTCAATAAGCAAATAAAAAGGAAAGGGTAACAAGGGAGGCTCTGAAGAGTTCCATGTAAGGAAACAACATTAAAATGCTGGAACTCTGCTCCTCCCATTTATACCTTAACTAGAGGCCCAGTGCACGAAATCAGTGCATGGAGGGGGTGGTTTCCCTCAGTTTGGCCTGCACCCTCTCACCTTCTGGGACAGCTGGCTCCTAACTGCTCGCCTGCCTGCCTGCCTGCCTGCTTGCCCCTAACCACTCCGCCTGTCTGCCTCATCACCCCTAAGGCCTGCCTGCCTGATCGCCCCTAACCACTCTGCCTGCCTGCCTGATGCCCCTAACTGCTCACCTGCCTGCCTGATTGCCCCTAATCACTCTGCTTGCCTGCCTGATTGCCCCCAACTGCTTGCCTGCCTGCCTGATCGCCCCTAACTGCCTCTGCCTAGGCCCCCGCCACTACGGCTTCGTCCGGAAGGTCGTTCAGCTGTTTGGTCTAATTAGCATAATATGCTTTTATTATTATAGATGACTCCCAAAGGGAGAACGGGGTTTTATAAACATTATTTGACCAGAGAGGAGAATGGGCTAGAGTGAGAAGATAAAGGAAGTGAGTCAAGGGCGGTATGGACAGTTCAGGTGAGAAATGATAACTCAAACAGTGATGTGGAAGTGACAATGGCAAGTCCACCTTACGTCAGCACTGCCCACCAGAAGTTCCAAAAGCGATGGCGGTGTTCCGACCGCACTGTCCACCGTGGTCACATGTGGCTAGTGAGCACCGGCAATGTGCCCCTGTACCTCTGGGAGGAAGTGCAGGAACCTCCCTGGCTACTGTTCCACTTAAACTTCAAGGGAGGGATACCTGCTCTCCCACCTCCACCTTGGCACCAGGGTTCTGGCTTCAGCATTGAGCAGGTATGCACTAGTTCTAGAGAATCCACCCATGGACAGATGTAGATTAAGAGATCAGCAACTGGGTCACCTCTGTGCACCAGATGGATAGCTCAACCTGGGGCATTTAGAGGAACTGGAGCTGGAAGCTGGTGGCTGGAATGATTAAAAATTTATTTGTATGAGGGGAAAAAATAAAACAAAACTGAGTTTGCAATTGTATTCTATTTTTATCAATTTAAATTCAAATTGCAGCCAGTAGCTACTCTATTAGCCACTGCACTTCTAGAACTATTCAAGGAAGTAAAAAACACACAAACACACCCACATTTGTGGTGGGTTGACTCAGTGGACATGGTACTACTCGGTGAAATGTGGACAACATGAGGAGGAGTTAATTTTTCAGAGAGAAGATGCCAGCTTTGGACATGCTGAATTTAAAGAAGCACTGGGTACCCAGTCAACAATTAGAAATGTAATCTGAAGAAAGAAGGTCAGAACTGGATGCAGAGCTTAGGGATCTGGTGTGTGGGGAGGCTGCCCAGGGAAGAGGTTCGG